ATTATATTACAGTATGTTTATTTTCATGCAAGTGTAAAATTAATTACAGGGATATATTATTGTATAAGTTAAATCTTTGGCTTGGGAGAGTTGGTCTTTAAGGCTGAAATTCATACACTACATCATAAGGCCTCGATTATCTGGATTTCTAGGGATTCAACTGGTATTTTAAGTACAGTATAATAAAATAACATAGTACCCTGTATACACATTGTAGTGAATATTATACACACTAAATCACAATCCACTACACTACTGAATTCAGATTGTAAAGCATTATACTATATACACTTCGTAATTGCTTAGTATATACATTATAAAACCTTACATTCACTAAAGCCTAACAAATATACAGTACCTAATATTTAACTAAATACAGAATCACATAATCTTTAGTGATATTTAGTTAACAAATGTGTGCTCCCAATTGAAAAGTATCATTTTAGCCAAGGTTTTAATCACACTTCGATGTAAATGAAAGTACTCAATATATGTTGTTCAAATAAAGATTTATTGTTTACACAATTTTCAGATACACGGTACCTTGTTAGCGAGGATAAATCCCATAGTGTTCCTTAAGATACATTGTGCAGCAGTGTGTTATTCATTTCTGCCCATCCTTAATGGTCGTTCTTTATTGCAGGAACATGAATGTAAAGGTAATTTCTGGGTAAGCCTCCATGCCAGTAGCTCCCCACAGCTTAAGTGATGCTACCGTTCAGCCTTTGGCGCCTTCTTTTGATAATTACTTGCCACTAAGCCTTCAGGTCGTACCATGCCTCTGAGACTTTTGCAAACCTACCGGGAACCAGAACCAGAATCTGGTTTGCTCAACAACACATGGGAAGAATGGAGATTGGAGCTCAGCCTAAAAACCATGCAAACTATCCAGGCATTTCAAACAAAATCAAATAAACTACTACAGTATTTGAAAGAAAGAAGTAAAACGAGAAAAACAATGGGTGAACAATGCTAGCTTCAATTCACTCGGGCACCATTAGATCAACCTGTCCTTTGTGAATAGTACATAGTATTTTGATCTATAAATCCTCTAAAGCCTAAAACTGATGTACTAAAAATTATAGCAGCTTGCAAAATTTTACATGGTCCCTTATCATTTCATGGGTCCTCGGTTTGGTTAGTTTCAGGGCAATTTAATACATCAGTTTAGTGATGTTGGGAATGCTCGAGAGGACGTACTGACTAGATAGCTTTGGCCATCTGGGGCCCAAATCGACCACCTTCCTCACATGCCATTCCATTTGGGCTATAGGCCTGTGGGACTAGTTTGCGTTGCTTTTCAAAATTAAGTACTTTTGCTTTCCTAGGGATATTTGTTTTGTGTAAGGCCATTTTTTTATTTGTTATTGAATTTTTTCACTTTGCAACTGTGCTTATACCACCCTGAGTGTTCTCTGGGTATTATTTTACTCCAGTTTTGGTTGAGGGTTCTCTTTTCTGTCTGTTGGTTCATGTTTGACCTTCCTACACTAGAGTTACTATCTCTGAGGGATAATAGTTTGGTATTTGACTTTTTCCTACCCTATTGTTGTTTGTACTCATTTGCAGTAGTAATCATTATTTTATTTCTCTCCTGGCTTGCTTTTGATCTTTGATGTCTAATATTGTTGCCTCATTCTGTTTGGCTTTTGTGGAGCCCTTCTTTCCCACGTTTGGGGTGGATGTCTCTGCTTCCCCATTTCTGAAGTTTTCTCTAGCATTTTTGTCACCAGCTGGCTTTCACTCCTCTTGAACCTTCTAGGTCATTGAACCAGGTCTTGGCATTTTTTGTCCTTCTTATTATTGGGTACCTCCCTCTTCTAACAATTCTTGCTTTAAGGTGGTAATTTTGTTGATCTGGGCTTCTGGATGTCAATTGATGAGCTTCATATTCTTAATTGGAAGCAAGCTTCTACTCTTTTGGCCTAGATGATCATTCTTTGGCCTAGATGACTTCTTTCATCATCATTTTCAACAAAGAATGAGTCTTCTGCTTTCCAGAGGTTTCTCTTGGTCATTGATGCTTGATTTTTTGGCTGAAGAGTTGATGATATAGTATGTTGTGTTGCAGCATTATCTGTACATGCTTTACTCAGCTGGATACTTTATTTCTTAAGCCTATATCTTGAGTTCATTGTCCAAAGTAGTTTGGAAAATTATACCAACCTGCTGTCTGTCCGTGTTGCCATAATATGTGGAAGCTCAGCTCACAGCTCTTGCTGTGTTCCTTGTAATTACAGTATGTCAACAGGAAATATCCAAGCTCAGAGTTTTGGTGTTTCTTCAGAGTGCTGGCCACTCTTTCCTTATTGGAAGTTTTTCACTTGGGTATCTGATATTTGCTTTGCTTTTCTCTTCGCAGAGTCCCGCTACTCTGCTTTATTCCAGTTTTGCCAATTCCATTAGTGTTATGCTCGTCTTCAGCAAAGCTGTTCTCCTTTCCAAGCCTCCACTGTAAGATTCAATGACTGACAAACACTATCTAGAAATAAAGTATTGAATGTAACAAAATTGCCATTCCAACCATACTTTTAACCTTTCTTTTCTCTTCTTTCCCGAGAGACTTAAGAGTTTGTAACTTTTGACTTAAGGTGATTTGGGATACTGGATGACCTTGGCTACCTTCCAGTGACATCCAAGTGGATTTGACCATGAGTTCTTCACGCTTTGCTTCATCTTTTGCATTGTGTTCCTCATTTCATTATTTAAAGCAGTGATTTGTTTTGATAACTGAACTTTCTGGGCAGTTTTCATCAGTTTCAGGTTGATCACTGATCTCTCGTCTCTCCTTGCATCATTGAACAAACCAGACTCTGGTCCTGGTTCCCAGTAGGCCTGCATAAGTCTCAGTTGCCTGATACAACCGGTAGGCTTAGTAATCCCAGAGTTTAAGCGTTGGTGAGCGACCGAAGATGCAACCAGAAAGGGTTATTTCTTTACTTCATTTTTTTAAAGTGTGCCTTCAGTATAAGTGAAGAAGAAAGAAGGGTAAAAAAGATAATGGACTTCTCTTTATAACTGAATAAAAATATGTTTGAAAACTATTTGCCCTACACCACCTCCCCACCCCAAAAAAGTTATATACAGTGTACAGTGGAACCTCAAGTGACAAGTGCCTCAATTTACGAGCATTTTGAATAACAAGCGTGCCGATCGCTGACAATTTGTCTCGATTTGCGAACGTTCGTTTGATTAACGAGAAAACCATATGGTGCGTTCCAGCTGGTTCTTGCAAATTCTCGGACACCTCCGACAATGCAAATAACTGTTTTTGTTTTGTTTTAAAGATGCTAATGATGTTGGGATGTAAGAGGGTTGACTTCTGTAATGTTGCAAAGCATTGATTTTTATTTTTTAGACAAAATTAGAAAAAATAAAAACAATTGAAAAATGAACAAATGTCAAAAATGTTTGTTCAGTGAATGTTAGGTAGGCTGCTACATTTAAAAAAAAAAATGAAAAATAAAAAAAAAATGAAAGTTGAAAAAAGTCATAAAAGGTTTGTTCAGTGATTGTCAGGTAGGTTGCTACATTTTTGAAAAAAAAAATTGAAAACAAAATTGAAAGAAATTGAAACAAGACAAATGTCATAAAGGATTGTTCAGTGTATGCCAGGTAGGCTGCTCCATTATTAATAAAAAATGACAAATACAAAACAAATTGAACAAATTTGAAAACAGGAAAAATGTCGTCATGGAGCACCTACCTGACAAACACTGAATGAACCTTTATGACATTTTTCCTTTTCTTCAAGTTAAAAAAAAATTATACAAAATTAAAGCTGGCTATCTGACATACACTGAACAAACCTTTTTCTATAAAAAAACGAAAAATAAAAATAAATTATACAAATCTGAAAAAGACAATGTCATAAAGGTTTGTTCAGTGTATGTCAAGTAGGCTGCTCCATTTTCTTAAAAAGAAATGAAAAATAAAAGAAATAAAATTGAACAAATTTGAAGAAAGAAAAATGTCATACACGTTCGGTGTATGTCAGGTAGGTTGCTCCAATATTTAAAAAAATTGAATATCATATTGATGTTTTTCAGTGGCAGAACGGATTATTTTTATTTCCATTATTTTAAATGGGGAAATTCGTTTTGAAAGATGAGCTAGGTGCTGGAACGGATTAAATTCGTTAATCGAGGTTCCACTAATTCTCAACAGCAAATTAACTTATTTGTATTTACATGTGATAGTCCCACTGACCTTAATATAGTACTATATACACTAGTACGTTACATATATTGAAAAGTAAGCAAGAAAAAGAATTGATGAACAATTGCGTGAGTAAAGTACAGTACAGTATGTGTATAGGTGCTTTAAGTGATGCATAAGCATTCAGCATAATGAGAATTTGAAACCAAGCTATTAAAAACAAAAAAAAAAAAGTCCTCATATAAGGTGAATGGAAGAGGCTTACATGACATGTTCAGTTGGGACTGGTTTGGGCCATATTTGTTGTGAACATGTCTCGCACTACTGGGTGGACATTAGAAGTGCTTCTTCTTTCGTTGATGGCTTATTTCTCGAGCTACACTTCCACTTTTGTGGCCTTCAAAATTGTGTACACTTCACCATTTCTCTCTAAATGACTATTGATTTCTCATTTTTTCTTTAATGGCAAACTTGCATATTTGTCATTTCCCCCCTTCGGCATTCCTGCATATATGTCATGATTTGGTAATCCTCATCCTTTTTCATCTATCATTGTTCTTCAGTACAAGCAAATAGTAACTGCTTTGCTTTTGTGATAGCCAGATGATCATGGAGAAATGTTTAGTAAATTCTAAAGTTACTCCCTCAGAAGACTTGAATGTGAAGTTGTTGAGAGCATCTGGAAAAGATTCTGCACGAGGTCTTGCTCTCAAAGGAAGGAATATTCCTACAGAGAATGAGATGCCAATGAATTAGAATATAATTCAGAGCTATTATTATTTATGCATAATATATCTTACTGTTAATAACTTTGCATTATCAGTTTTTTCTTATTCTGACAGGTGAGTCAGTCAGGAGCATTACGATCCACCAAGGAAGGAGGGAAGGATAGTCATTGCCACAGAGGTAATTATATACAGTATATAATTACAGTATTTGATATGTATTGAATAATACTGTATAATATATACATGTACTGTATATATAATTAATTATCAGGGGTTGCATTGAACCTAGTTGATACTTCAGTAATGTGTAGCATAATATAAGCTTTAAGCAGTATATACATCATCAATCCTAATACTATACAGTATTGCATATACTGTACCGTAAAGCGTTTCCATGGTGAAGGTACCATATTGTGAAAGGATGGGTGTCGCTGAATATTTTCAATTCTGTTTTCCTATACTCTGTCCTTTCTGAATAAAAATCAAGATAATGAAAATATTTTTTTTTAATTCCCATTTCAGGCTCTGGGTCAAGAAATAGTAGTGGGAAAGGTGCTGGAGTATTTCCCCATCCTAACACAAGCAATAAAACAGGCCAGCACCATACAGGCGGCAACAAGGGTGGGAAAGGATCAGAAACTTGGGATTTACGAAGGCTGGAGGAGGAGAGCGAGGTGGCTCTTGAGCGCCGCCGCCAGCAGCTGACCCAAGAACTGATGAGAGAAATGGCTGGCGATTCTCATCATCATATAATATCTGTGGATAAAAAGGTAAAATATTTTTTAAAGATATTTATCATTATGTGCTGTTACTGATTTTGCATTCAAATCCAAAATAATCTAGGGTTAGAGATCACATTATAGTAAACAAGACAAAACATTAATATATATATATATATTATAATTTTTTTTTTTCATTAATTCTTGAACAAGGTGAGAATTAAAAACAAAAATAAAATGGTCATAAAGCCTGTAAGTCAACATATGTGTAGGACAACATAACTAACGAGAGTTAGATAGAAAATCAAGAAAATGAGATGGTGGCACAAGAAGAGAAGTGTTGTTGGTGTCACCACCAGATGGCATTATGTACTGTTACGTTTATTTCAAATTTCCTTGGATTTGAATTGGTAATCTACCCCTCACATTATACAGAGAAGATTTGATATGAAAATTGACAAACATCTCTCTTAGCACTAAGAGAAATTTTTGTGTTGGGCGATGTGTCTATTTTTTAAAGCAAACGGTTAAAACTGTTTGATAGACAGCTAGTGAGGTATTGTATCTTAATGTCTTTCCTCCCACCATTTAATTTCCTTCCCTGCCACCACAATCTCTTGCACCCAAATTAAAAAAAAAATATGGAATTGCTACTAAGCTACATACTCTCATATTTTGTCATTGGCAATGTTGCAGATGCATGGGCAGCATGGACACAGAAGAAATCCATCATCATCAAGCAGCAGCTCATCTTCCTCAACATCATCATCAACATCATCATCATCAAGTTCCTCTACATCAGAGTCTTCACCTCATCGCTCGGGATACAAGCGAGATAGTAAAAGAAAATCTCGGCCCGGTAAAAGAATTCCCTCGAGCAGTGATCGCTTAAAGCTTAAGAAGACCAAGTCATCATCATCGTCGTAAGTTAATAATAGTTTGTGTTGTTAAATTCGTTTGATATCACCTTTACTAAAAATTTGTACAGTATAACTGAATTGTCATTTAATAATAAACTTTCTTAACTAGATACAGTACAGTACTAAATAGTGGATTTTTGCTCAAATAGAAATTGTTGTACGAGTTGCAATGAAAGGATTCCATTCATCGAAGAAAACATAAGAAATAATGAACAAAGTGTTTAAAAGCCTTATAGGTTCAAGCAATTAATGTATCAAAATGTGCACAAAAGTGTGATACTGTATATGATTTACAATAGTCAAAACATGATAATGTTTGACATAAAATAATGAAAAAATGCAAACTCTAGTGGCAGTGAGATTCTGGTTGAAGTGGAAGGAATCTATTGTGAATCTTTGTTTGAGCTGAACACTATGCATTGCAGTCTATTAAATCTGGCTCTATGAATAATGTGAAATCCTTCAAATGATTGCCAAATATTGCTTTATATCAATATTTCATAATCTGAGCTAGATTTAGGCTCATGAAGGTACTGTACTCTAATCTGAAAAACCAGATTGACTCAGAACTGTTATGAAATTTGTTGCTGGTCAGATTTTCATAGCATTTTTACTATTCTAAGGATTTGCTATTTGTAGTCCCAACAGCCCATTGGACCAAGCTCTCACAAGTCAAGCATGGGTCCCGGGCCAGGCTTGAGGAGTAGAAGAACACCCAGAAACCCAACCAGGCACAATCCAACACCTTATTTCCAGCTATTAGCTAACTATCAGGGAAATGACTACAGCAGCAGTTCCTCCATGAGATTCTATCACCACACAAACCTTTCACTTTTTCAGAGTTCCTAACCAGTGAGCTAATTTCTTGGTGGTGAATTGGGTTGGATACACCAGTGAGCTAATTTCTCTATTAGAAGACAAAGTCAAAGAGAGCCTGCATGGTGGTTAATCCTGACTGGACTATATGGGTTCTGGCTTGGGAAGCATCCGAGGAAGCAGCTCTGAATAGTGTGTTTCACTATGCTCATAACCCCGTTTTTTATTTCACTTGTAATGACGACAACTTTCTTAAGTGGCTGATAACTATTGACTTTACCCTGTGACTTGGATATTGTATAATAATTACTGTATATTTACAAAATATAACTTACTTTTTTTGCAGAAGGAAACATAGCAGTAGTAAGAACAACAAAAAGAATCATCCAAGTAAGAAGGATCATGAAAAGATTCGTGGTCACAAAAGTAGTCGTTCCCCTGCTCGAAGAAAAAGCTTAATGTCTAAAAAAATCCTTTCCCCTGGACGCAAGCGTACTCCATCTCCATCCCGAAAATCTCACAAGCTTTCTCCCGGCAGGGCAAAGAGGAGTAAGAGTAAGTTGATAAGCTTTTATTTATAATTAAACTTTCTAGATAGCATTGCTAGTTGAGACCTGTAACATAGAGATGACTTAATGTGTGTTGGCGGATCCTGGAATGGTATCCAGTAATTCACTTTTCACATATCTTGGTGAAATGTTCAAAATATTCTCTGTATTGAAAACTGCAGGTCTCCTGTAGGCTTCATCATTGGAATGCAGCCCATCATCCACCAGCATGTTAGGATGCTACATCGGTCATGACTACATGCTACTAGTTGCACTCCCAGTTTGATGCCTTCTTTTGATAATTACTTACTCGTTGCACCTCTTACCAAATATCATAAGGCAAATGTACTGTCTGAGCTCCATAATTCAGATTATATGGGGCAAACCCTGAGCCAAACCATGGGGAGATCAGAATTGCCAATTTTTTTTTTATGCTATCTATGTCAAACGTATGTACAAATTTGTTTGCTTATTACAGCAATCAACTTAATTTGCATTTTCATATATAATACTGAATACTGTATTACATTGTCATGGCCACAACTTCATAGAAATAAGTAAAATAGAATTACAGAACAGAAATTTCATCTTGCCTTAGAGTTAAAGTTAACGGCTATCTTGATCACTCAAGAGATTGGAATACTGTATAGTACTGTGTTGTACCTTATGAGACAAAATAAGATTTTGTACACATTATAACTGAAAGACGTTAATTCTGTAATTAATCACATCTAAGATTAAAATACAAGTGCTTGGTAAGCTGCTGAAGCTTAGTTGGTTGATGGTCTTTGACTTTCAAATCTTAATAAATATGAATATATTTTGGCTTGCCTCACTTTTTAACTTGCATCCTATATAATCAGCTCTATGCCCTGTCTGGTGTATTTTCAATAAACTTAACTCAATAAATGTTCGATATTTTAACTTTCACACTTAAAAGCATAATTAATTAATTTTTAACATCTGGTCAAGGAATTGGGTTGTATGTTGTTGCTTTCTCCTCTTCCTCGTCTTCCTCCTACCAGTAATGGACGTGATAATCTCATCTTTAGTCAGCATACCTTAACCTGGGTTATTAGCATCTTTTTTCTAACCAATCAACAACATCCTGACTAAATCCTCCCCCTAAATCCTCACCAGCTTTTCTAAAAGCTGGTGAGGTAAGTACAAATGTGAAAGTACACCATGGATTTTTATCTCTAAATCTTTCAAAGCTTAATTCTTTGTTTCAACCTCATTAACTGGAACTGTTGGGATTTTTCATCGAAGCATTCTTCAAAGTGGACTCCTTAACCTCATTCTAACCCTATTTGTAACAAACCTTGCAAGGTGCAGGTAGGAGTCATGACATGGTTGAGGCTTTTTGGTTATTGCTCTACAAATGCACAAAACTGTTAGTCACACGGCACACCCTAGATTTACAGTACTGTATTTTATATTTACAGAATATGTGTTTATATATTAAAACAAACACATATACTTACCCGACTTGATAATGGGCCAGGATGGACTGAAACGTCGCCACTTCTTCATTTTGTGATGTGTGGTTTGGTCATCATATCTTCAGCCACATTATTGTGCCTCATTGTTTGCACTAAAATAGACTGCCTAGACCATGTAGACCAGGCCACGTGTCGAGATGATCAACCCCTAAAGTGCGACTATCATTAATTCTGCCTGTGCACAAAGGCATGCAAATAAATAGTTTTTAAAATTGTACATTTTAATCCAAAGTGTAAGGAAAATTCAAAGAAAAATACATCAACAAAGTGTTTTTGTTTTTTGTGCACATTTGGAGGATGTCAGAGGGATATGTTGTCTGTCCTCATTTAATTCAATATTATTGCTGACTTGCTATACTGTACAGGGGAGAGAGCTGTGATGGTTCTGTTAGATGGTTTAATAAGTGTTCTCTTTCACTTTAGTTTACAAAATGTGTGAAATAATTCAGTTTATTTGCACGCACTAATGATTGAGTACTGTATATTAGGCCTATTATGTAATATGTGCACCTATATTGCATGTAAATTTGTTATTGGCACAGCTCAAAGGAAGTGCAACCTGCTCTTTGCTATTACTCTGGTAATGTCCAGAAATATGGAATTACCAACGGGATGCACCAAATTGAGATTTGACGATAATCACATGGCTTGTGGTGCAAGGTATTCTCATCAATATTAAGTAAATAAAGATGATAGCACAATTATTTCATTGGCTTCATTTAACTTCATTACATCCATATGGATGCATTACAATATGTATAACCATATTTACATCATTTCAATAAAAACTAGGGAACAGTAACTATATTCAATATAAGATGATAGCCACATTACCCTAGGGATCAACATATGACTATAACTGCAATTTAAGAACTAAATTCTGTCATAATTGCATTTGTTCTCATTTAATTCTGGCTGTTCGAGAATAGTCCCAGATTTGTGGTACACAAGACAATATTCGTCTAAATGCTCTTCTGAATATTTAACTTGAATGGTTATACTCTACCTAGAAATTCAAAGTTGGTCAGTTTAGTAGAGTAAGGGCTACAATTTATCAAAGCTTTCAGTATTTAAATAAGTTGTTCTATTTCAGAAGTTTGTAATAGTTAAAAATAAAGCATGCTTCTTGAATACACTGTACAGGTGAATTACTGGAATTACAAGTAAATATGAAGCTTTTCAATAGCAAAAGGATTCACATTATAAGGATGACCAGGATTGTGAGTCATGGTCCAGCATGTGCATGCATTTAAATTATATTTTATTTTGCAGTGGAATAAGGTCTGAAAAGATAATATAGTTTAAATTAATATGTTGCATCATTTCAGGCAGGAAACGATCCGGCTCTCCTAGAGATCGTTTAGAATACAGAAGCGATCGTATAGGACTACCAGAACGATCTTTGAGTCATGGACGTGATGCAAACATGGTTTCACATGCAGCATCTTCATCCCGGACTCGAGATCCACGAGTTGATGAACGTGCACGTCGAATATCACCTGAACAAATTGGAAGAGATCGCTACAGGTATCTTTGTGGTGTTTAAAGTGAATTGTGGAATTATTTTGTAACATAATTAAATAATACAGTAATATAATTGAAGTTGCAAAGAATAAACACAATTTATATATATATATATATATATATATATATATATATATATATACATATATATATATATATATATACATACATACATACACACACACACATGTTCGACAGAGTTCCACATAAGAGGTTGTTCTGGAAACTGGAAAATATTGGAGGGGTGACAGGTAAGCTTCTATCATGGATGAAAAATTTTCTGACTGATAGAAAAATGAGGGCAGTAATCAGAGGCAATGTATCAGAATGGAGAAATGTCACAAGTGGAGTACCACAGGGTTCAGTTCTTGCACCAGTGATGTTTATTGTGTACATAAATGATCTACCAGTTGGTATACAGAATTATATGAACATGTTTGCTGATGATGCTAAGATAATAGGAAGGATAAGAAATTTAGATGACTGTCATGCCCTTCAAAAAGACCTGGACAAAATAAGTATATGGAGCACCACTTGGCAAATGGAATTTAATGTTAATAAATGTCATGTTATGGAATGTGGAATAGGAGAACATAGACCCCACACAACCTATATATTATGTGAGAAATCTTTAAAGAATTCTGATAAAGAAAGAGATCTAGGAGTGGTTCTAGATAGAAAACTATCACCTGAGGACCACATAAAGAATATTGTGCAAGGAGCCTATGCTATGCTTTCTAACTTCAGAATTGCATTTAAATACATGGATGGCGATATACTAAAGAAATTGTTCATGACTTTTGTTAGGCCAAAGCTTGAATATGCAGCTGTTGTGTGGTGCCCATATCTTAAGAAGCACATCAACAAACTGGAAAAGGTGCAAAGACATGCTACTAAGTGGCTCCCAGAACTGAAGGGCAAGAGCTACGAGGAGAGGTTAGAAGCATTAAATATGCCAAAACTAGAAGACAGAAGAAAAAGAGGTGATATGATCACTACATACAAAATAGTAACAGGAATTGATAAAATCGACAGGGAAGACTTCCTGAGACCTGGAATTTCAAGAACAAGAGGTCATAGATTTAAACTAGCTAAACACAGATGCCGAAGAAATATAAGAAAATTCACCTTCGCAAATAGAGTGGTAGACGGTTGGAACAAGTTAAGTGAGAAGGTGGTGGAGGCCAAGACCGTCAGTAGTTTCAAAGCGTTATATGACAAAGAGTGCTGGGAAGACGGGACACCACGAGCGTAGCTCTCATCCTGTAACTACACTTAGGTAATTACACTTAGGTAATTACACACACACACACACACACACACACACACACACACACACACACACAGAGTACAGTATATATATACAGTATTATAAGTAAATAAATATAAATGTACATTTTCACCAAAGGTACGAGAAGGAACGCTTAGAGGAATATGTGGAACCTCGACGTGAGCGCCGTTCACCTGCACCAGCAAGATCTCGTGAAGTGGAAAGGAAAGAGACCCACAGACATAGAGATTATGAAAGGTAAACAATTATTATTTAAATTTATATTAGAAAAAATATTAACAGTAGTTACAAGTGCATGATAATGTTTATCAAACTTCATTTGCTTACTCCTTCCTGGGTTCTCTCAAAGTGGAAGTGGTCATAATGGCAGTTTCTCCATCAGGGCAAAGAAACATAGCAGAAGGAAACATAGCAGTAGTAAGAACAACAAAAAGAATCATCCAAGTAAGAAGGATCATGAAAAGATCCTATACCAAGCCTATAGATCCTATACCAAGCCAAGCCTATACCTATATATACCTATAATACCAAGCCATTATGGCTATATAGCCATAATGGCTTAGCACTTTCCCTTGATAATTCCTTCCTTCCTTCCATCACTCTTATAACATCTCTCTTTGGTCTCTAAACCAGTTAGCATGATTGTAAAAGTAGTTAAATGTGTTAAACAGCTACTGGTAAGCTGCTGAGGTGCTAGATTCACTACAGCTGAAGGTTGAACTCTGTTCACCAAGCAGGGATGCGTACATCCACATGATGCAAATGTTGGGATATAATTACAATGTGATCACTGTGTGAGCACTGTACTGAGCTGTGGATTTGAAGAGTATGTTGATACATATCTCGATGCAGTATAGATATCTCTATTGTATTTATGAATGTACAAATGTTGTACCTAATAGCCAGAGGTGCCTAACAAGTCAAATTTTCTTAAAATATTAAATTGTTCAATTAATATATATATGGTATGACAGTTTTTTACTATAATGTATATGATAGGGAATTTTTTTTAGTCAAAATAAACTTAGAAACCTGATCTAACCTAAATACAGCACATAGATTATTTTTCAATACAACCTAACATAGATAACAGTAGGCCTAACTAAGTTAGAAATTAATGTTTCAGTATGTTATGTTAATATTATCAGTGGTAATCTAATTTTACAACCTGGAGGCTTTTATGTTAGTATTACTGCTTCATCACAGTGCAATCCTTGAGAGAATTTAAGTAATGAGACTGGAGACATAAGTTTTTGCTTCCTTATTTGCTTTACATTCTATTGGATGCAATGCTATTTAAAATTATACAAATAAAATAGAAAAGTAAGTACAAGTTTATCTTCACTTTTCATGATCATTTGTCTCTGCCTGCATTGGATCTTGGAAACAATATTGTTTTTGTTATTTGCATAATATATTGCCCATGATGTATAATATGAAGATTGTACTGACAAATACAGTATTAGCAAAAAAAAAGTGGATTCTTACATTTTCTGAATTTGTTTGCTCTTTTGGGATTAAACAGACACGAACGTGAACATTATGATGAGAGACGCCGTGAAGACCCAAGAAGAGAAGAAAGAGAACGGGAGCAACTTAGAGAAAGGGAATTACGTGAGAGGGAAATGTTAAGGGAGAGAGAATTAGTGAAGGAGAGGGAACGAGTTGAGATCCTGGAGCGGGAGCAGGAGAGGGAGAGAGAAAGAATCAGAGAAGTTGACGATCGAAGGAGTGAGTATCTGCTGTGTCTATAATTAAATTTTTCTGTTATCTCCAAGCTTATGAAAAAAAATGTAAATGTTAGTATATATTTATAAAAAGATCCCTTCTAATTTTTTTTTTTTTTTTTTGCAAGGTCGTTATGGCCGAGAGCATGAATTTGCCCGTGAGAGGGAAGTGGTTGTTCGAGGAGGAGGCCGAGAATTTGAAGGAGAAAGGGATTTCTATTCTCCCAGAGTTCGCCCCGAATTAGATGCCAGAGTTCTTGCAGTGGATGACAGACGACCATATGATGAAGCAGCTTATGAAAGGTTTCAAAGTAAGAATGATTTTGAATTTTTATTGTTTTCAAAATTTGATTAACAGCTTACAATGTTAATGTTTTGAATTAAATTTGTAGTATGATGACTCTCCTGGGTACAAAAGATATTTTACAAAATAAATCCTCCCAGTAAATATCAAGTACAGCAGACTTCCTTAAAAGTAATTGGTAATGCATTTTTGTACTAAGGTAAGGGGGGGGGGGGAACTCTCATTGAGGGATCTTGATGTGCTAACACATTTGAATCTTTATACTTTTGTTTTTTCCTGATACATGTTGCAGAAGCTCAGAATTTTTTTTTTTTAAATGTATCTTTTGAACTTCTCGGTGATATCCCTTTCTTTTTCTATTTAATATTTATATTTCATGCCTCTCTGGTGCCCTATTTTCTCTCTGATGTTTCTCCTATCACATGACCTTTTTCACCACTTTCTCACTCCTCTCCTGATTCCACTGTTTTATGAATTTCACAAATATTATGCTAAAAATTTTTTAAAGGAAGCATAAAAGGCTGCCTGTGTAAGAGAAGCACCAAGGTGAAAGTTTGCCCTCGTGCCTCAAATATATTTCTTGAACATTTCCCTTGTTTCTATTATTGATAGATTTAAGTGGATATATTGTATCGTGTCGTGAGTAGTTTCATTATAAAATGTACCATATAGTTGTTAGACATCCAAATTCAGATTTCTTTCGACCTTGATTTAAAAAAAGTGTGCACGCACGCTTGCATCTGTATGTGTGCGTGTGCGTGCTTGTATCTGTGTGTCTGTGCTTTTAGATTTGTATGTGTGCTTACATTTGTGTGTGTGTGTGTGCAAGTGCTGCTCTGCCTCTTTGAGGGGCGTGTTTCTGAACCTTGCTCACAGTAGGCCAAAGAGATGATCATTGATACCTAGTGAGATCATATTGGTCCTTGAGTACCAGTGCTTAACACTTTCGCCCGGGCATGACACAGCATTACGTCATCCGTTTACTGTCGGTAATTCTGGGGATGACGCAGCATTGCGTCATCCACTTTAAATAATCGCTAAAAATCAGGTTTTTATCCAATTTTTTTGGGACTGGTTTTAAAATGCGCGCCGATGTCTTCCCATTTTCTTTGTTGAGCCTCGTGGCCCTCAGGCGGCTTGGCACATGCCGTGGGCCCATTGTTTTCGCTCCACTGTTGTGACCAATGTCGCCTCCCCTTGCATCTCAAACGTGTGAACATTTCGGCTATTTTCCGTGGCTATATTTCTTACTGCGGCTTTAGAAACTATCTACGCTTACTCCACGATGGATAGTGATCATGAACAAGGCCCTTCCAGGAAGAAAATTGCGAAAGAAAGGCTTGAAAAGGGCGGGAATTGTGAGTGTAGCTGGAAGGCGTCGAGCACTCACTCGCGGCTAACGCGTGGCCCGTCTTCAACTCGTCAGCGGTTGGAGCGTGACCAGGTTTTTTATTTTATATGCTAATGTTCCTCTAGAGAATTCTATTGCGAACCCATTGAGACAAAAATGAAAGACCTAGGATAAAAATTGAGGTGACCAGAGTGAAAATAGTGAAAACATTTTATCGCGTTTGCGCGTTCCTGGGTAACTCGTTCGCACTTTCTCTGTTTGCTGCGGGTAATTAGCCGGGCTTTTGGAGTTTATATGCATTTAGTGCTGTAGAGAATTCTATTGCGAACACAATGATACCAAATGTAATCTCGTAGAACGAGAATTAAGGTGACAAAGTTGAAGAGTATACACTTTTCAGAATTTACGCGCACTCCCATGACACCCTGGGTCCCATATCGCACAGTTGAGGGGTGGCGAGCAGGGTGCGCCAAAGTGTTAAGCTGTGTGGAACACTTTGTGCAGATGAGTCAGGGAAGGAAAGTAGCTGGTGTGAAGGTCTGTGTAAGTAATAAAAAGATAGGAAATAATAAGACCTAAGGGTTGCATGAGAAGTGATCATTCTGGTTATAATGTGTGTGTGAAAGGCTTGTGTTACACGAGTGAGAAAATTCAAAAAGGTAATACAGGATAAGTGGATAATGTGAGAATATGTAACGCTAGAAGAGAGCAATGAACAAGAATGTTATAGGAAGTGTGAAGTTCAAAACCCTATGACTTGTAAGACTGAAAAGAAAAGTGTGCTCTGTTTATATAGCTAAGTTATTTGATTACGGGTGACAATAGTTGTAAAGAAAATACAGTACAGTATATCAATGTGACCCTAAAGACAAATGACGGGAATTATAGAGAAGAGGAGTAGTGTATATATGATGAGTGACCATAAGAAAATGTGGCATTCATGTAAGCAATACACAGGGAATGCCAATGAACCAGGAGTTAGTAGCTAAATGAAAGAATGTTAGAAAAGAATGAGAGATTTTATTTGTGGCACTTCATGTAGAGTACTTTATATTTTGTTTAAAACATACATAAACAAACATGACAGGTGATTCTGTTGTAACATGGCAAGAAAAGCCTTAAGGAAAAATGTAAATATTAAAACACCAATTACTGTACTAATACTGATGAGAGCTATGTTGAATTTCCGAATCTTTTGAGGCCTGCCAAGTGATTTTAGACAAAGAATAGAACTATCAGTAGGAGAAAATGCTCCATCATTACCTAATTAAGAGGATTTTTCACATTACTTTATGTGTATTTATGGAAGAAGTCTTAAAATGTAATGATTACAGTAGTACAAATTTGTTTAACCTTGTAATATTTGCTTCTTAATTTTTAGTGTACATTTTTATTTTATTTATTTTAATCACAATCTTTTCAATTTGGACGTGCCATGTCAGGTGGCAAAGCTGACCCTGGTACCTCCTGGGACACTCTGCACTGGGTTACGCCCCCTGCCACTGACCCCTTTGTGGGTGGTGACAAAAAAGGCATAATAGCAGTGGAAGAGCCTATAGGCAGCAGAAATGGAAGAGGGAAGGAACTGCTGAGAGTAGGTGCGTTTAAAGTGAATGGGCTGAGAGAGAGAAGAGCAAAAGAAAGGAAGTAATTTATCAAGGGCGTAAGAAAAGTTAGGTGTGAAGTATCAATGACATGCACCCTATGGGACAAGTGGGGAAAAACAGGATGAAGCAAGGTAATGCGAGACAGTTTGGGTGGGAGCGCAGTGTGGTTAAATCTAGACGAAGGATAAAAGAGTACAAAAAATGTGTTGAGGAAGCGACATTGTTGACTCATTAAGAAGTCAAAATGTGACATGACATGGGTATGCACTCAAAAATTTTATGGGTTGAATATAAAATGGGGTTAAATATATTTGCTATTATGCATGAATGAGCACTTGTTAATAAGTACAGTATAATGAATGTGGAAAAAAGATTTGAAAGATCTGGAATGCGCCAAATATGTATGGAAAGCTTTGGCTAGGAAAAAAAATAGTTCTAAGGGACATGAATGCGAGAGTGGAGAAATGAGATAGTTTTTGTATGAGAATGGTGAATGCCAAGCACAAATGCAAATTTAAGTTGTATTGTAGAATTGTTATTTGTAAACACATTCTTTGAATTAGTTAGTCTATAGGTACATATGGGGAAGGAAAAACTTGAAATCAGTGATAGATTATACAGTAGTACCATACATGGAAGTATTACAAATTAGTAAATCCTCAATTTGCCCAGATTTAGAACTGAAATCAAGTATCAAATTTTGGTGCAGATCAAGAGGCATTGGAAAGATGAAAATTTGTACAAAATATTTAGTGAGATATTTATGGAAAATAAATAGTTGTATTAGAAGGAAGAAAGAAAGGAAACAGGGAGGAGAGGTGAGAGTAAAGAGGAGAAACAGAGATTGATAATGTGGTCCATCTTAATATGAGGTACAGTATTGAAACAATGGACAGCTATCTCATTAAACTGGAAGCAGGAAAAAGATCTAGGAGTGAATAAAACAGCAGCAGCAATGCTACAAGGTGGTGGTGACCATAGCTGGGTTAAACTAAATATTGTGTAAACATACAGAATAGAATATGCCAATGTCTGGAGACAATCAAGTTTAATACCACTGTACAAAGGCAAGGAGAGTAAGGAGAGGCATTGCAATAATTAGAAGTAACTTACCAATTAGTGTACAGTATATGTGAAAGTATATGATTGAAAATAATGGAGAGGGTAAAGGAAGAGAGAAGTAAAATAATGATTAAGTAGGGCGGGACACAAGTAACAAAGTTGTGAAAGTGTTCTTTATAGCATTATAGCAAGAAGTAAATGCTAATATTGTACAGGTAAATGCAGCATCACAGTTTTTGAATGGTGAATACTGAAGTGGTAGATTTTGTTCTAATTTGCAGAATGAATAAAGTTAGAATGTGAGACTAATTTTGGCATGCTACTATAAACCCTTTCATATGTGGGAGTATATCATAGATGAGGGATATGACAGGTCTAGGGTTAAGGTTATATATAAATGAATGAATTATTAAATAAATGTTGTGTTAGTATATGGGGTAATTAAATAATAGAGAAATGTATGAAGTATCTGAGATGGCAATAAAGATAAAGCTATGTGGTAGTAAAGTGGAAGAGGAGTAAGATTAATGCTTTATGATGCTTTGGATATTTGTAAGGCATGACGGGTAATAAGCTTACAAGGGAAATATAGAAGAGGCAAGTACAAGAAGTCAAAGGTATCTGTAGGTAACTAGCATCATGGGAAGATAAAGTAGAGGAGCACACACAATCAATCAAGTTCTGTCATAAGGCAAATAAATCAGGCTAGACGAGAATTTTTAGACCATGCTGTCATATAGACTTTTCTATAATGGCCACCCCTTTCAGAGGGTAATTCCAAAAGGAAACAACACATTAGAAATACAGATAAATTAGGTACGTGTCTAAATATCCACATTTCAGTCTTTGAAATTGTCACAAGACTTCTTCTAATTCTCTCTCTAGTTCTTATTGGTGTTGCACAACCCAATGAAGTATGTGACCACTCTTCCTGTTTGTGAACTTTCAGTATGATAATTTGCTATATATTATTAGGTCACAACTTGAAGGCTGCAAATATTTTGCAAAACACAGTTTGGCATGAATCAGATTCACATGAACAGACTGTATTAATTTAATCACATTATTATATCTAGGTGAAAGAGAACGTGTCCGTTATGAAAGTGGACGTAGTCGTTATGATGAGCTAGCCCTTCATGAACGTCGTGGAATACCGCCAATTGATGATCGACGTGCAGACCGAAGAGCCCCTCCTCTTGATGCACGCTTTCCAGATGAACGTAGACGGTAAGAACTACAATGTCTTTCAATTTATGCAGTTCTGTATTCGTATCAAAATCAGAGAATCTACTGATTCACCGGAGTGTAGAAGGTACCTCTCTGATGTCCAGAATCGCACTTGGAGATTCTGGAGCTCTAATGTTAGCTATACTTTATCTACTGGGCAAGATTATAAACAGTCAGGCAGAGTAGCATCCTGGCACTGGCACTCCAGGAAATTCTTTAAATAATGTATGCAAGGTCTTATTAGTGGTAGAGAGAATTCTGAGCCCAGCTTGGAATAACTTCCAGGTGGTTGATTTATGTACAGCATATTTAAAATCACACCATGTTCTTGTCATCACAAAGTTGGACACTTGCCTAGACCATCACCAAGCCATAGCACCTCACCCCTAAACAGTTCCTTGACCCAAACTACTCTATATTCTTAAAAAAAATATAAAATTGTTCAAATGAATTTGTAGACAAAATTATTGGGAATTCAGGAAAAATAGTGAAAAAAAATTTGAATTTGACTGAGATGAGAAGGGCAAATATTATCCTTAGACAACTAGACTAAATATAAAGGTAGAAATATTTTAAATTAAATAATATTGTGCTTCAAGGTAATATACAGTACAGTACTACTGTATACAGTATTGATTTAGGATTGTGTTGCCACCTTGTGCAAGTAATGTACAGTGTTCTTCAATTTTAATGTCTTTCATTGTAAAGTGACATACAGTATTATTAAGTTTAGATAACACTACACTCAGATGATGCCTGTATTGCTAATCTTCAGCATGATGTAATGCTTGAGAGCTTTGTAACCTATTACTGCTTTTTATTTTAATACCTGTATACAGTATGATAACACATTCAAGACCACAGTACAGTATTTCACAAAATTTTCTCTCTTGGGGATACAAAAAGGTTGAGAATGGGAAAATCTCTTTTTGATTGTTCTCAGTAGCCAATTCATATTCTACTTTCCATGAGTATTAACTTCATTATTATTAATGCAGTATGAGCTCTCCTTTGAAAAATTCTGAAAATGATTTGCAATTTTATAGGGCTAGCAGCAGCATTGATCCTCGTGTCCACGAGGCTTGGGTTGAGGAGCACAGGGGACTCGATCGCATGGAACGTGCCGACCACTTTCCTCCTCATGTTCCACCTCCTCGTCACCGCCACCAGCCGGACTGGACTGGTGGCCGACCATCAGCTGCTTGGGATCGTCACAAGCATGCCAGGTTTTCAATATTTTTATTGATTGTTGTATTGATACAGGAGTGTTGGTTTATATTTTTCAAACATGAACTTCAAACAATTTGTTGTATCGATAAGTTTCTGTATGTGCTAAACTATGCAGTTATAATGTCAAACTCATCTAGAGCACAATAATACATAATTTAATTTTATAATGTAAGATGAATACATTTTTGTTTACAGTAATTATTGTTTTTAGGGAAGAAAGTACTTATGCTGAATAATAAAAGCTGTGGCATATATCAGTATGCTACAATTTAAAAAAAAAATGAGTTAACTCATATATTAGCTCTTATTAATAACATGGTAATTAATCTTATTACAAGTAAGGTCCCCCTCACAAACAAAACAAAAAATTGCCGTTTCTGATTGACCCTAAATGTTCGTGCCATACCTATCTATTTTTTTTTAGTTTATTAAAATTTAATTTTCTCAGTTGTGGTTATACTATATAATACACCTAGCATGAGCATGCGGCAACACTGAAATGTGGATACTCTTTTCAGTTTTATCATCTCAATTTTCGTTGTATGCCGTTCATTTTGGTATTAAAATGTTGGCAATAGAATTCCCTTATACCTACAAGGGTATATGCCTATAAGGTTTTAAAGCCTGGTGTGCCCCACCCACAGCAAAGCCAAAACTCAGCCAAGCGTTATCTGTGAGCCAGTACCCATTGGCACACTCGCAACATCCGCTCACAAATGTATTTACTCTTTACAAGTTCCTCACCTCAATTTTCATTGTACGTCGTACATTTTGGTATCAAAATGTTCGCAATAGAATTCCCTACATAAGTATATTCATACGAGGTCCAAAAGCCTGGCGTGCCACCCTGCACCAAATCCAGAAATCGGCCAAGCATTACCCGTGAGTGTGCAAGAGCAATGTAATGTGTATACTCCTTTCACTTTTGTCACCTCAATTCTCGTGCTACGTCTTTCATTTTGATATCAATTTGTTCGCAATAGAATTCCCTTCAGGGATATATACATGTAAGGTCCAAAAGCCAAACGGTTCAGGTTTCTCACCTCAATTTTCACCTCGGTTTGCAATAGAATGGGAAGACGTTGGTGCACATTTTAAACCCAGTTCCATGAAGATTGGATAAAAACTTGAATTTTAACATATTTTAATTTTGGATGTCACCTACGTCCCCATGGAGCATCCACAGAGTTATTTGTGAATGTCAACGCTGTCCCTATGGAACGAAAGTGTTAACTCTGTCCCTCCCAGGCGTCGGTCTACATGTTGAGTTAACTTTCACTACTATGTTCCACAGAATATCTTGCACTATAATGTTGTATTATGTCATACTCCTTCAATCTTTTGTAGCACATTGTATTCTTGGCTCTGATCATTTACTTCATACTGTGTTTGCACTTTTGGAGGAAATTACCTATTGTGCCTATTAAAGATTTTAATTCATGGCCTGCAGTCATAAGTATATTATTTTTTTTTATTATATTTACTCTATTGTACTCTATGTTCATTGTTTCTTGATCTTAACATTTTCTGGACCTATCACAGGTTAATTAAAAGGCAGCCAATAAACAAAATTTAGAAATTTCATTTGTTTGTTTTTTATCTAATAAAACAAAGACTTGTTCTTTCTAGCTGTGCCTTTAAAAACAATACAGAATACGATCTATTAGTGAAAATTGCTAAAAAAAGAAAGTTTTTTAAAAAATTAATAAAATAAAAAATAATTGTTTTGATTCATAATTATATAATATAAAATATTGCTCAAGTAACTCAATATTACAATAATAATAATAATAATAATTTTATTCATAAGAATGTGCATACCAAGAAACACAGGAATAGGGGACAATAGTGGGTACAGGCGGTTACACATAAATATGAAGTCAACTCTAAACAAAGCATTTCTTTACATACCCACATGTAAAGAATATCTCTATAAATATGACAAATGATCACACTTAAGAAAGACTTCACCTAGCACAGCCAGACGGTTAAGATATTAGGGATATACGATAATGCAGATATGCGAGTTTTACTCTTAATTTTGTAGAGTTAGTTTTATTATCAATGGATGTTAGTTTGCTTTTAGTGTTTTTGCTTCAGTAATTATCAGTAAAATAATTTAAACGTACCTTGCATTAGGCATGAGGAATGGGCTGACGAGTATGGGCGAGTCGCTGGAGCAAGCAGCGGTCATGGTGCAGAGTGGGGAGAGGAGCACCATGATTGGGTAGCTGATAGAGCAGGACCTGCCTCCCTGCACCAGGACCAGTGGGGCCAACACCCAAGGTTACTATTCTTACTTGCACATATAATTGCAGCAACTAATATCAGTTGATTATATGGCTCCTCAATTCCATACTGATATCTATACAGGTAGATATATTTTTGGAATATAGGTTAAATTGTGCAGATGAGTCACAGTAATGTGGCTGAAGATTAGACACCCAACCCACAAATCTGAAAATGAAGAATTGACAACATTTCGGTCCATCCCAGACTGTTTTTGAGTCATGTAATTTGAAGGATTCACCCAAGAAAAATATTTTAATTTTTAGGATAAAAGACCTTGTGGAATTGTATTGAGTAGCTGGACATTAAGTCTAGGTCACATACTCAGTACTTTGTAAAAAATCATTAATGATGTGAACGTGGTACTGTAAATTCAAGCCTTGACCATATGTTCAAGGTGCATTGAGGGGGATAAAAGTTGTAGGTAAATTAGTCTTTCTTTTTTTTTAGCAAAGGAAGTACCACCCTAAGAAAGGTGACTAAAATGCATGTCATTTCTCATTGATGATTCTTGTCTTTGGATACACACATTCAGCTGCACTATTTGGTGATCTGCTACATTCGTTATTCACCTCGGCATTGCCTTTTCAGGGATGTTATGTGCCACATTTACCATTTATGACTGCTGGGGGAGCCATTCTCTACATATATTCTTGTCTTCTAGGCTATGCAAATGATAACTGCTGCTCATATATGATGATCAGGCCAGTGTGTGTGTAGGTGTGAAAGGTAGTACTGTAGTTGAAACTATTTGAGATGTTTCTGGTGGATTCAAGGTGAGAGAGTTTATTGAACGGAGCAAAACATCAAAGGTAATAAAGAGGATTGCAAGATGTAGTTAGGATGTATTACCTTTAACACTTCCTTACATTATTCACATCCCACCTCATGAATATGGCCATGAAACATAGTTTATTGATTGAATTAGAAAACTATTTATGACCAAAATTGTTGTGGTCTTAAACAAATTTTGTTCTTTTTTTAGGGTGACAGGGAAAGGGGGGGGGGGGAGGACTAACTACAGAACATTATAATTTTGGAGCAGAAAAGTTAACCATCTGATCTGGACCAAATATTCTTATTTATGCAGAGGGATGATTAACTGGTCTAAGATTTTCTTTATTTAAATAAATGCTTCAGCTCCTGTGTTCATAGCGATGACATAGATTTCATTAAATATAGGTGAAGTGGAATCCCACTCAAACATAAACCAGGCTCTCCAGAACACTAGTTGCAAGAGAAGGATGCTGTTTTGGTTGTTAGATTATCAGTCATTTGAGTTGCTGTCTCTGATTGTCGCTAACATTATCCCTGCCTCCCTTAAGAGGCTTTGGAAATTTGTCCTGCTTGATTTTTAGTACAATACCTGTATGCTAAAATATATTCATTATTGAGAATGTAAGTTCTATATTACATTATTGGAGTATTTTGCACTGAACATAAAAATCATTAACCATTATTATGCAACAGGAGAAGCTACAGAGATGAATGGGGGGCTAGAGAAAGTGAATGGGGTGACCGTGGATTGCAAGCATATTCTGGCCGTGATCTTGGACACCCTGGAGCTCAAGGCTTATCACTTGGACGAGATCGTGGTCTACAACCACCCATTGTGCGAAGACCTCGTCGAGAACCAATAGATCAAGGAATGGAACCACCTCCACCTGCGGGTCGCCATCATCTGTAAGTTAGACAATACATACTTTTACAATGTATTTTGAATTGTGGATATTTATTGGGTGAGGGGAAAATTGCTTGTTTTGGTATAAAGCTAGTTTCAGAAAAGTGTGTAAAGAATTAGTGCAAAATAAATCCTCAGGTATATGGCTGTTCCTCAGAGAAAAAGATGTACACAATTACTGTAGGCACAGTTTCTACATTAATTCATGTTAATCTTTTCTTTGTCCAAAGGTATAATTTCTGTTGTTGTTCAATCGTGTGACATATTCTCTTTTCTACAAGAATGCACACAATTTGTGATTCCATTCAGCAACTATGCCACATGCACAGTTCCTTTGAATCTCACTCACTATAATTCTGTCTACAACCAAACCTGTCATTGATTTCCCAAACTTGGGGACAGAACCTGTTAGGCTCATCGAGATTCTCCTGGGCCAGTTACAGTACTGACCTTTCCCAGGATACAGCCCACAACAGTTACCTAACTCCCAACTGCCTAATTGAATGAGGGACTTACAGCTGTGACCCAACTGCTTTTCCCACTGTACCACAGGATCTTGCTATTTCATAATTGACAAATATGATTGTAATCTTGATTTGGTTGCATATTAGTTTGATTAATAATGGTTGAATAAACAGCACTTCTCTCTTCATAGTGGTGGTTTTTTCAACCATGACCATTGTTATTATGACTGAGGGATTAATAAAAGCTTATGCTTAGGACATCATTGCCAGCCCCATCAACCTAGGGAAGATTATGACGGTTGTTGCTCCCTGGGCATACTCTTGGATGCTCTGTTAGTGGGAGATTGTACCTCCTCGTTTGTGTATAGGTTGCATCTATGAAATAAATAGATACCTGCTCTCCAGGAATCCTGCTTCCAATTGTGACAATTATGGTGCTCTCCTGAATGGGCTTAACATTGGTACTGTGTCCTTCATTGAGGAGACTAAGATGCAAACACAGTACCTCAATAATTGTAAAAAAAATATCAGACAGTGCTATTTGTTATTCCTTATGCCGGAGGTAATACTGCTTTCAAAATTAGTGGTATTTTCTGTGAGGGTTCTCTGTAGCTCTCCACAACATGTGTGTTGGTATTGCCAAGTCTTATTAATCACAGCAGGCCTTTGAGAACCATACTGACCTACTGGGTGCTACAACCAGAATCTGGCTCTGCAAAACAAGGGAAGCTTAGGGATCAGAGAGCTACCCAAAACGTAGAAATTCAGATTCTTCAGAAATTTTTTCAGAAATTTCAGAAAAATTACAAAAATTCAAAACGAAGATTCAACAACTATGCCACATGCACAGTTCCTTTGAATCTCGCTCACTCAAAACGAAGAAAAAAATATGCCAGAAAGATTGAGAGAAACAAAACAAGCAACTGCTGGAGAGGAAAAAAATAGCCCTTAAACAAACAAGGCAATAAATGATTATTGCATGCAAAATATCTTAATGTTAATCCACCAGCTTATCTGTTGAACAGATAAGCTATTCAAAACTTTCCTAAGATAAGCTGTGTTTACTAATACCTTAATTTTTTGTTTATGATTTTACAGACCTGCAATGAGTGAGGAGGAGGGTGTGGAGAGTGCCTTGGTGCCTCCCAGAGGTGGGGATATTGGAAGTCCTCCACACTCGGATCAGGACCAGGCACTCATGCCAGGTAATGATGGTAAGATGATCCCCGTGTGTGTCCAGCTTCATCCAATCATTTTGGCTCCTATAGTTTGCATGCAGTTGCTACTCTGCCATGATTATTAAGTTTTTTCTACGATGATGTTTTCATCGCACTGTCTCCCATTTAGTTATGTAATCAACAAATTATTGCAGCATTCAACCAAGACTTTGGGTTAGTGTATAATATTTTTCTTGTTTTTTTAGTTTTATTTCTTTTCATGGTAATGGTGAATCATTACTTGTGTAATGTCTCTTCCACTTAGTTTTTTTTTCAGTACATCTGATACCAGTCTATGGCTATGATACACATTTTTAGAAGTAATGTTTAGGTATTATGAAGCATAGTAATTAAATACCCTATATACACTTGTTGATTATAGCCATTACCCTGCCACAATTTAAATTTTAATGAACTAATTGGACATGTATCAATCATCTGGCACTTAAATTGGACCCCTAGAGAAAAGATTATATTAAAATTGGTTTAATCAATTTATGACATACCCAATAACTGAGTGTTGTTTCTTAACTACATGTTTTTTCTATAGCAATTTCCGTAACACATTTCAAAATCAAACTAACCAAGTACATGCCAATAGAATTATTAGCCAGCAGGCAACCTTGCTGCCTAGAAATCAGTATTTCAACATTTTCTATTGAGCAGCAACATGTCTGGAAGTGGCCATCACTACACTTCAACTTGTTATGAATTAACACATTTACTGACACAACAGAAAATTACACTATTGGAGCAGAGCCAATATATATTTCATGATAATTTAAAGCCGAGCAGATAGTGCATCATGGTGGTCAGAAAAGCTTATAAATGTTTGTCTTCATGGATGTATAATATAAACATAAATGCCATCTGTTTGTCTTGTCTTGGACATTGCAAACTCTACCCTGGGTTATAGCTGCTTTGTATCTCCTGATGCAGTGAAGATCTTTTCTAAATTTTCTTGCTATGCTATTACTGTACAGGAGGATGGATGACACTAGGGAATTCTCTGTCCAACATTAACTGATTGTCAGAAGGTACATTCCACTATTCTCAAAACTCTTCTAAGCTATATTTGAAATTATATAAATTGCTATGTACAGTTATTGTTAGGAGTAGCATACTGCTCTGCTACTCGTAACAAACAATAACTACTGTAGTTGCCCACCTGGTAGCAGCCCCAGGAGTGTAAACAGTCAACTGGTGATTGCACTTCACTTTATCCCAGATTCTCCCTCTTAGAATACAAGTTTAGCCAATGAGTGACCTCTTCTGTTATGTGACAGCCGAGTCATTGTGAGCCTGTTTAGTTCCTTAGCTTTATTGAATGGTTCATGTGTGCGTGTGTATTTACTGCAGGTCTCTCATGCTCACCAAACTGATATGGGCAGTTTCTTTCTGTGTTTGGCAGTATGCTAGTTCATAAAAGGCCTTTTAGGAACTACCTCTGAATTAGCCTTTAACTTTCAAGTTTCCCTAGCTAAGTACTGATCCTGCCAATACTAAGGGAGTTATACCTGAGGCCCACCCTTGCTTACCAAGAACCAAGACCAGAATGTGTCTCTACAAGGTGAGGAGAGCTTGGGGAACAAAAATCAACCCAAAATAGTGTGGAAAAACTTAAGTGCAACAAAGTAAGCAACTGCTAAAATAAAATGATGTATCCAGAGGTAACGAGACAAACTATAGTTGGTGCAGGGTCTTGTATCCTGAGGTAACGAGACAAACTATAGTTGGTGCAGGGTCTTGTATCCAGAGGTAACGAGACAAACTATAGTTGGTGCAGGGTCTTGTATCCTGAGGTAACGAGACAAACTATAGTTGGTGCAGGGTCTTGTATCCTGAGGTAACGAGACAAACTATAGTTGGTGCAGGGTCTTGTATCCAGAGGTAACGAGACAAACTATAGTTGGTGCAGGGTCTTGTATCCTGAGGTAACGAGACAAACTATAGTTGGTGCAGGGTCTTGTATCCTGAGGTAACGAGACAAACTATAGTTGGTGCAGGGTAAAGACCCTCCCTGTGATGCACCAAACTACCACCAGGTGGCAGCTCAGGACCACAGGTCTCTTCAGGATCCATTTTCATTTTCTTTCCTGGGTGCTGCTTGCTATGTCTTGCTTTTCAGCTCTCCAGCCTCGGTATTTTTAAGAGTCCCTTGTGGTCTGATGTGTTGATTCATCTCGGAGGCCTCCTACAATCTTAAAGCTCAGCAGTACCAGTGATTAAACTCCAGGAAACTTGTGGAGGTCTAACAGAAATGAATTTCATTACATTCCATGTTAAATTTTATTTTTATAGATTTCAGTATTGCCATTAAACATATTTTTATGATTTTATTTAAATGTTTTAAGTTTTTCATGAAACTGCATGTTTTATTTATTTGAAAATATTCTTCAATATAGCATGGGAATAGTGATATAGTAGTGTTACTATGCAGTAGCATTGAATTAATGAACATCTTAATTTATATTCATATTATTTGAGATATTTCAATGCATTCTCAGGCGAGTTATGGGAGTATGACCCAGGTCGGGGATCTTGGGTACGACGGGCTGCTGATGCTCCTCCCCGTTCAGGGAGAGAGTCGCCAGGCAAAAAAGAGAAGCCACTAGCAGAAGTACCAGTGGTAGAGGGTGAGTAGTTTTGATGCATGTGTTGGTGTACAAGAATATTTATTTTGAATACCAAAGGAAAGGATCCTATCTATTAATTAACAAGATTGTGTTATTGTTTCAGTTATTGAATTTCTTGTAATGATTTGGGTTGGAAGAGAATTAATTCACTAATGAGTACATGACAATTTAAATTACTCAAAATAAGGTTGAAAGATAAGCGAGATGCGGATATATCATTATCGATAACAGTTGGTTCTGTACTCTCCTTCTACATATATTCCTATTGTTTCAACAATTTTATTTTTTTTACAGTATATCCAAATATCATAAGAGACATTTGTGAATATTTTGACCAAAATCAAATGGAAAATGTACATCTATCTATTTGTCTATCAGCAATGTAATCTACAATGCTGTACTATACCTTCAGTACTATAACTTCACTCCAAACCAAGCAGTAAATATGAGAATATATTTATTTATATAAATAAATATATGAGACGCAGCTCTGAAACATGTAATAAGTGACTAGCAGTTACCAGGCAGACACTTAATTTGCATCATTTATGATGAAAACTTTTGAATTTATAAATGTTAGGCAACATAAAGAAGACAGTTGTTTTAGATGTGATTTTGTGAAATGGTCATTATTTGAAAAGCTGGCCAGGAGCATCATTTGTGTATTAATGACATTAGATTTCAATACATGAAATTTAAGAGCTTATCGACTGTGGAAGAGAATGAGTTTGTATGCTTGAAGTGTGAGTTGAGATTATTTTGTGAATATGTGCAGTAGCAGCAGTATAATAATAAGCAGTTCTACTACCTTGCTTGTTTTTCTTGGAATTAGTGAATATTATTTCTTCTATTTAAAAATGTCAAAATTTTAAGGATTGTATTATGATTTTTTTCCTCAGAAAGTGAAGTAGCAGCTGTTGTGGAGGACAAAAAGAGGGCAATTTCAGAAGACAAGACTGTAGATGAACCAGAGAGCAAGAGGCTGCGTACAGAGTCACCTACACCAGTAACTGGTGAAAATGATGCAACACTCCAGGAGAAGGACACCTTTAGTGACATTAGTGATGATGTGGACGACATTCTTAACCAGGAGGTAAAGGAGAAGAGTTTGTGTTAAGTAATCACTCGTTCATTTGGATGATATATGTAATTCTTAGTCCTTCTCCTTTTATACGTCTGTTTCTTAGAACATGTAATACTTTGAGCATTTTATGAACCAGTAGTAATTACTGCAGAAAAATTGTGTAGAATTGATCAGGGTTTGATATTGGCAAACATTTGTGAACTCTTGAATATAAACAAATAATTTATATCAATGCAATGAAAGGTTTGTAATTTTTAATTATTATACATAAATTGTGTGTTATGATGCCAAATAATTTGTTTGACAGGTTGGTGGTTACAATGAAGAAGATGGCCGTAACTTGAGTTCCAGTCAGATTGAGGTACAGTACTTATTCTTATGGTGTAATAGTTTAATATTTACCTTTTTCCAACATGTTATTTAATTTCTTGAGTGCTTGTAGCATAAATTTAGTAAGAATAATTTGTAAGAAAAAAATTGTACAGTGGTCAGTAAGCCAAAATGGTTCGGGACCAATTTAGAGTAGTGAATTTGTCATTTTGTAGATATTTGATACCAGAAGGCTGTCCTAGTATGGTACAACTACTACTGTTATCTATTATTTGTCCATGAAGTCATTGTAGTAACTCATCCCATTTATGGCTCACATAAGTAGAAAGAGAAGAATTCTGTACAGTTTATTAATGCAGATGTTGAATATAACAGTGTGAGTATTCCATTAATCATTAAACTGAATATTCTGTCTGCAACAATTCTGTTAGTTATTACTCTGCAAGAAGTTGTAGTTTATATCTGCACATGAGTGAGGTGATGGGGGGGGGGGGTGTAAAGTCAACTGTGTAATGGGTGAATGGGTTGAGGAGGGAACTGAGAAGGCTAACTTTGAAGTAATAGAGGTACTCGCTTATTTGTTTTATTGTTTTGCACTTGCTTACGTGTAACCTCCTAATTTATTCTTTTAGGACCCAAGGAATCTTAACCGGGAAAATGGGCCCACATATGACGGTGAGTTAATTTGGTTCTTACCTCTGTCTTATTTTAATCTTATTAATATTAAATAAATGTTGTCCTTATTTGATGTACACACACAGCTCTCATTGAAGAGTGTCGGTCCTCCCAGTTTGTGGTGCAGCAAAATAATAGGGTGCTAAATATGTTAAAATGTTGTATTGCTTTGTGATGCCTGTATAAGGTATTGTTTGAGGGTTAAGCTTGGGCAGACAATTCATTCCCAGTGTAACAGCCTCTAAAATGGATGAACAAATCAGTGCATGTTACAACCCATACTCTAAAAGATAATATTTATAACAACTATTTGGTAAATTTATAAAAATGTACTGTTGCAGCCATAGAGAAAAATATCAATCATCCGCATGAAATCTTCAGAAAATAACTATTTGCGGAATCTTATCGATCTCTGTAGATGTATGTGTGTATGTTTCAAATTGTTTTCTTTCATTGAAGGTTTTCCAGTTTAAAAGCTAGGTTCTCTTACAGTTCAAGCATTGACAAAAAATACATTTTGTTGGAAATGTGATTTTTCTCATGACAATTTCAGATTTGCTAGATGAAGATGAAGAGGCCCATCTTGAAGAAATTAGCGATGACGAGCTGGAAGAGGATCGCCAGGCCAAATTCAGTAAGTATTTACACCATTTTTCTATCTTTAATATTAGATTCTTTCTTTCAAATGCAGTATTTCGTTCTTTAAAACTTATCATAGGGTGGCATTTTGAGTAGAACTTTAAGGCCCCTATTTTTGTACCTGGTCTATAAGACAACCCCTGGTTTTGGGGTGTTGGTTTTGATGATTCAAATGTAGTCTTATCTGCCAAGATATGCGGTAAGTCAAACTCTCCAGAAACTACAGTCAAAGCAGAGCAAATTGTATATCTTGGTTAAAGAGAGAGAGAACATGTTGAAACTAGTAAACAGTAGTTTGCCTAATGTTAGTGAACTATACATTAGTATTCAAGTGCAATACCAGGTGGCAACTCAGCTTACCCATGGGTCCAGCCTGCCTGCCTGCCTCACTCATGTACTTCATACCAAAAGCTTTACTTCTATACCATAACCTACACTGCTTTTCCAGCTAAGTAAGGTTTTGAGTTTCTTAGGACTTTGTTGTCCATGATTGTGTTAATGTGTCACCATTTTGTGTGGCCTTAGCTGATAGATCACTGACATTGTTAGTATTGCCTTCTCTAGCTTTGGCTTGTTTCTCATTCCCTCACCAGAGTTATCCTCTCAGAGGGGTTCACTGTCATTTGTGTTTTGGGCTTCTCCTAAATTAAGTTACCTCCATGTCTGGGAATTGTTTGGAACTTAGTCCTCATGCCAGACCTGTTGGTAAAAGTTGATTTTACTTCACTGTGTATGGTATTGAGCTTGGGTGGTGAATAAGGAGTCTGTGGCACTGTATGCCTTTCTTCATCTGTTATTTATGTGATTTTGTGTGCTTCAGTTCCCATGCATCTGGCACTCCTGGATGTTTTTTTAATAGTTCAGACTGCCAGTTCTCATTTGGATGATATGACCTGTTTGCCATTTGTAATTTTAGGGTTATTTCGTGATGGCTCCCTCACACACCCCGGAATCACTTTAACCTACTTACAGCTTTCAGGGATGCATTCAAAACTGACAGATTCCTGTTACCTCCATCAATCTGCTCCCAAGCAACAGCCTTTTAGAATGCTTCAACCTTCCAAGTATATGCCTTACTGTGGAGTTTTTTTGGTAGGGGTTTGATCTGTTCATCTGATAGTTACTCGTACTACCTCCCTGCATCTACTTTAGTTAAAGGCTCTCAAGGGACTGGGAGCTAAAAATTATTCGTCCAAATATGAAATGTAGTGAAAAATGTTAAACAAATCTCATGTTATTTGGCATCAGCATCATGAAAATTTCATCCCAATATGTTAAGAAATGGATTTTATACAAATTTAAACAAAAAACATGCACAGCTAGTACTGTACTGATAACAATAATATCTCCTAGTTAGTGGAACTCATGGATAATGCAGTGATTAACAGATGCAAGCATCTGTCCGACACGCAAATAGTAGTAGTAGTAGTGAGGAGGGTCCACAAAGTGGATGGATGTGCAGCTGGTGCCTTCTAGGATTGCTGATTACCATCTGGAGGGCAAAATTTCACACAAATAATGATGAGTATGTATGTTATGTTGCTGTATTTTATTATATATCATATAAATACATTGCAGATGCACCAGGAAACTACTGAACTGACCAGAAAAAAGTATTTCATTACATTTAGTGCTATATTTTTAATATTTTAAGACTGGTACCACCTCACCTATAAAAGTGGTAAATTAGATAATAATGTTGAATGAATGATGATTTATGTTATATTGTGGGGGTTATATTGTGATTTATGTTATATTATACCTTACATAAGCTCCCTCAATTGGCTGCAATTGAGAAACAAAGCTTCTAACTTTCTTGAGAATTTTCCATGCTATTTGTGAAATAGAAATAAAATTTCTTATCAACTAAGATTCTTAATATGGAGAGTGACTATAATGGTTTTTGCAGATGTTGCTGGTGCCCTGGATATCAATTGGGCCTTATTGGTTCGAGACTCATCCCGAGCTGCCACTAATGAGGTGGCAGCTGGGACTGCTCTCAAACGTTTCAGTGCTTCCCATTTGCTGGCTCGTCTTGGGGTCTCCACTTCATTTGCCCGACCAGAGGTGTTGCAACAAATCAAGGAAGCTTGCTCTGTTGATACTAACCAAGAAGACACAGGTCAGTAATTAAATATTTAGTTAGTGGGCTTAGCAAATTGAACTTATTCCTTAACAGTTTTGTTGGCTATAACAATTGGTGAAGCTTCTTTCCACTGTAAACATTAAGTTTACATCGCCCACCAACATTTATTTTCCACCTAACATTCATATACAAATGTTTTAAGACTCTATCTACAAAATTACTTTTGTAATACTTTTAACACAAACATTCCAACATTGGAAAATATTAATGCAAAGGCAATAAAAAATATTCATACTACAGTGTATATGCTGAAAAGGGGGAACTTGCATAGAAACCCTTTTGAAGAAAGTGTAGATTTTTATCTTACATAAAATATGTATAGCTTAATACCATACTATATGGCAAGCTGTAGTATATCAATTTTCATTGTTACTATCCCAATATGTCTAGTTTTGAAAATTGTTAACATTTGCATGTTCAGTAAATAGTGTGGTTAATATTCGGTCATTTTCTTAAGACCTACTTTTCAGAAGCGCTTCAAATTTTGTATGCAATTCATTTAGTGTTGTACAATATATTGTGTTGTTGTTTAAGATTCAGCTACTGGGAATAAAAAGTTCCAAGTAGCACGGGCTATGGTGAGCCCGTAGTGGACTTACCTGGCACTGGAGCGGGCTGGAACTTATATATTGTGTTTATCTTCAATCTTCTGGCCATCATTTCATGAAACTTCTTATATGTGAACACATAAATAACAATGTCTGAACTGGTGTGTTCGTGCATGTGTAATCGCCTAAATGTAGATACACTACCTAAATGTAGAATGAGGGGCTACACTCGTGGTGTCCCATCTTATAACCTTTGTTACATGAAGTTTTGAAGCTTCTGATGATACTGTTTTGGCATTCACTAGCCTCTTTATTTAATTCTATCTATTTGCCACTCTGCTTGCAAGATATAATTTTTTATTATATTCAGCACCTTTGTTTCTTAATTTTAAAATATGCATAGATTCAATATGTAGATTCAAAAATTTTTCATAATTTTTGTAATTTCCTAATTTCCATTTTTGTACGTAGTAATGCTTCCCCCCCCCCCCTCTTTCTTTTTTCTTGTATATTATTATTTTGGCCATATTTAACTCCTCAAATCTCTCTTCATAGCTCTTGTTTAAATCCTGCATCCATCTAGCAGAATGTATTGGCACCTTTTCTATTTGATCTAGATTATGTATGTTCAAGAAATAATATGCCATATACTGTTATATACTCAAATTCATGTCTTTCATGTTATGAAAGTTTCGTAAACATTTCTCCATCCATGTACTGTATTTGAAGGCAGTTCAGAAATCGGATAACATACATCCCTGTTACTATGCTGTGATGTGGTCCTCTGATGACAGTTTGCTTTCCAGGGACTGCCTATAAATCTCTCTTTCTTGCTGGAGTACTTTAATGTTTTCACTTAATTTGTAGGTTGAATGTGGCCTAGCTTGATTTATTTCTCACTCCATTATGTGCCACTTGTTCACATTTACTTCAATTAGCCATGTATTGTTCCATGTGCTTTATTTTATCTTAAATCATTTGGAATCGTTTAAGTGTCATTTAGATCTTTTACTCTTCTCAGAAGCTTGCTATCATCCGCAAACATGTTCATATAATTCTATATCTCTTCTTCAAGTAGATTGTTATTGTTTTTATTGTTTATAATCAATAATTTGCTATATTTTCATCCACAGAACCCAAGAAGATAGAAATACCACCAGTGATTGACTCAGGTGGAGTGTTGCGTTTATTAAAGGCTCGGGCTGAAGATCGTCAAAGGATCCTGGATGGCATTGGGCCTAATCGAAGGGCCCTGTGTGCTCGGCAGGATATTGCTCTCAGGTGAGTGAATTTATTATGCATAGCTTCTACCTATTGCTCATACAGTACTTGGAGCCGAGTGATATCTAGCTCTACACAGTGTGACGATAATCTCCTTCAAGAGATTGAGCCTGCTCTTCCCTCCAAAATTACGTCTTCACAATTATATAAAAAGACTATGGAAGAAATGTCCAACAACACCAGCAAGGCTTGCCAGGGTGAGCAGAAACGTATGCAACCAGCCACCTGTTCGAACTCCAACCACCAAACTACCCGTTGATCGCTACGACTCCGCTGATTGGTCGCCGGTCTGGCTGCACCTGCACTCGCCCCCAATACTACCTGATGTCTGGGGTCGCCCCAACATCAGTCCTCAGAATGTTCCGTGCTTTCGTAGCCAGCACTCCTCCCAGCTAGACGTTAGCGTGTACTGAGAGAGGTGGTGGCTTTAAGCCAATATTCCAGCACCTCCCACTTACCTTTTGTGTTGCACTTCTTATTATTTTGCCTTAACGTAACTTTTCATTTTGTCATTTAAGAATTCTTATTATTTTGATTCATTGATTTTATTATAAGAATTTGTTTGTGCATTATTTTCATGTTTTGATTTATTTAACGTAATTAAAATTTCATTGTTAAAGTTTTACTTGTGTTTTGTGTGTCTTCTCCTTACCTTACCACAGACGAAGTTCCAGTTTTTCTATTTTTTTTATAACTATGTGACGAGGCCATACCCCTAGCCTTAAACAGCCGAACACCAACGCGTTACCGTCACAAGTTATATGGGGGCCTGTCCTAGGAGCCTCACTCAGGTACTGGTGCCAAGTGGTAATTTATGGTAAGCGTATTTAACTCTGTTAACGTAGCTTTACTATTTTTCATTCAATTTCATTTTTTATAAGGTGCGGTGTATTGTGCATTACGAGAGTAACATATAGTGAAGGTGAGACAACTTTGGATTACGTGGTGACTGTAGGCCGCAGTCATACTCTTAATTGGTCATCTCTCCCTCCATGTTATTACTCGTATTTACCATCTATGTCCCTTGAATATTTCTCATTCTGACAGATCATCATATTGGTACCCTGGTACTGTGGTCTGCCCCGGGTCAAGAGTACCCAATCTTCTGCAATCTGACTGTAGGAGGACAAAGAGGGCCATAGTTCCTCTAGCTCGAACTTTAGTTGCTGAATTGGGACCTCAGCAGCAGTTCTCGTCACCAGTTGACACCTCGCACCCCTACACGTCAGTCAGAGATGATGATACATACAACGGTAGGGAATTAGCTTATTTTTTCAGAGCACAAAAGTTCGCTAATTCTGTAAGTATCATATTAAATTCAGTGGGAAAAACTTGCTTTATGTCCTATAGAGACTTGGCAAGGTATGCCTACATCCTTGGACTACCAATTTTACTTTTGAAGCATTTAACTGTTTCATTTGTTTTCGAAACTTTGTTTCATTTGTTAGTAGGATTTTCTTGCCCTTATTCTCTTACATGAGTACCGGGTACAAGATTTCCTGCGCCCTTGATTTCATTTAATCATTTAATATCTTTCACTTAACGTTAATTGTTAAAGATCACACAGGATAGGTACCAGTTGCCACGTTGTCCTGTTTCTGACATTTCATTATTGAACATTCGTGTACCTTTATTTGCTAATTTCACCATGTTTCGTCTCCAAACTTTCCGTGCAAATCCAGCAGGTGAAATAGGGACTTTGAGTCGTGCCAAGAGGACTGAACTACAAACTCTTGCACATGAGTATCAACTAGAAGTTCCCTACCAAGCCAACAAAAATGACCTACACAACCTGTTGCTGGATTACTATTTAGAGCAAGGTAAGATAGACTCTGAAACTCATGAAACTTACTATATTGCAGATAAAACTGATTTGGCAACGCTGAAACTCAAACTAGAGCTGGCCAAGATTGAAGAACGAACAGCTGCCATACGGAGGGAAGAACAAGAACGCGAAGCTGCTTTGAGGAGAGACGAACAAGAACGTGAAGCTGCCTTGAAGAGAGAAGAACACGAACGTGGACTCGCCCTCCAGGAACGTGAGGTTGCACTACTCCAGGAGCGGGAACGAGTACAGCTTGAAGCACTCCAGGAGCGGGAACGCGTACAGCTTGAAACCAAACAACGCGAGTTGGAAATACAACGCGAACATGACAAGCAACAAGCGACTCTGGCTCTAGAGTGTCGTCAACGTGAAATCGCCTTGGAAACTTCCCACTTCACTCAACGCCAGCAAGCTACTGCCAATCTTCCCGTCAGTTTTAATATATCACATGCAAGTAAGTTAATGCCATCCTTTGTAGAAGCAGAAGTTGATGTGTTTTTCACCACCTTTGAAACCCTTGCTAATCAACTCAGTTGGCCTGTCGACCAATGGGCCACACTTCTCAGAGTCCATCTTACAGGTAGAGCTGCAGTCACACTCAGTACTTTGGCGTCTGAGAATGACTACTACACTCTGAAACAAGCAGTGTTGGACGCCTACCTACTTTCCACAGAAAGTTATAGAAGGAAATTCCGTGACCACCTGAAGGCAAGTACCACTACCTTCCTTGAGTTTGCTAACACGAAACGGAGGTATTTCATGAAATGGCTGGAAGCAGCACATGTCTCTACTTTTACAGAACTCGTCAACCTGATGCTTGTTGAAGAATTCTTGAGACGTGTGCCGCCTCCTGTCCGCCTCTACTTAGCAGATAAAGAAGAAACCGACTACCTGAAGTGTGCTAAGTCGGCTGACACAGCCTCATCCACCGGCTGACACCCGAACCATCCTCCAGTAAGAAGTCGTGGTACAGTTACGAGAAGGTGAGCCCCGATCAAGCTGGTTCACAACTGTACTGCAAGTATTGTAGACTCTATGGACATACCATAGACAAGTGTGGTAAGTCTCAATACAAGGGAACCACTGACCAACAACGACCCAAACCAACTCCTCCTAAGTCCGGTAAGCCTGTGATGAATGTTGGTGTTGATGTTAATGATCTTTCTCTTTTCAGTAACCACCTGTATACTGGAACTGTCTCTGCCAACGGTTCAAATCCGGAGGGACGTTTCAAATTGAAGATCTTGAGGGACACAGCGGCTCTACAATCGATCATCTTGAAGTCGGCTGTGCCCAACATAGTCTACACCGGGGAAACAGTCTTCATCACTGACCTCACTGCTACCACTCCATACCCTCTCGCCAGAGTCCACCTGGATTGTCCCTACGTGAACGGGGAAGTCCAAGTCGCCGTCAGGGAAAAGCCTTTTCCCATGCCTGGAGTGCAACTTCTCCTAGGCAACGACTTGGCAGAAGACCTGCAACCAACCAACCTGATCGTCATGGACAAACCCCAGGTGTGTAACTCTGTGCCAAGTAACCCTATTCTTGAGTATGTTCCAGCAGAGGTTCAAGAGAGTGATGATGTTTCTCCTCCGGTTCTCGTGACCACCCGTGCACAAGCCGCACGTCCACAGCCAGCTGACTCTACTGCTACCGCTGTCCCTCAAGACCCTCAGAAACTACCCCCGCATCTGACCAAGTTGGAGTTCCGTAAGTTGCAGAGGGAAGATCTTACTTTAACACCATTGTTTTTCCAGGCTGAGACTCAACCCGACAGTATTCCTGGGTTCTTCCTAGAGAACGACTTGCTCTACCGCAGATATAGACCCAGTAAACTGAAGGAGGAGGACGATTGGGCCAACACCGAACAACTTGTGATTCCCACCAGCCTGCGGCCCACTATTCTACACCTGGCCCATGGAGCATTCTCCCACTACGGCTTCAACAAGACTTACCATGGGATTCGTCAAGACTACTACTGGCCAGGTATGGTAAACAACGTCAAACAGTACGTAAAACAGTGTCATACATGTCAGATGGCAGGCAAACCGAACGTCTCCATTCCCAGAGCACCACTGATTCCCATACAGGTGCCTGCGGAACCTTTCCACAGACTCATAATAGACTGTGTTGGTCCTTTACCTCGGACCAGTTCAGGTAACGCCTACATCCTAACCATCCTGTGTCCTACCACCAGATTTCCCATAGCAGTTCCAGTGAAGAACATCACGGCTGCTACGGTTATCAAACATCTATTGAAGATCTTCACTCAATACGGATTTCCCAGGGAGATTCAAAGTGACTGTGGCACCAACTTCACCAGTGATCTCTTCAAAAGGACACTGGAGGAGTTCAACATCAAACAGGTATTGTCCAGCCCCTATCATCCTGCTTCACAGGGTTCTCTTGAACGTAGTCATCAGACCATCAAAGCACTCTTGAAAAAGTTTTGTAGTGAAACCTCAAAGGATTGGGATAAGCAGATTGACCTAATAATGTGTATTTTCAGAAGTCTCCCCAATGAGTCCCTAGGAGTATCTCCTTATGAGATGCTCTACGGCCGTAAGTGCCGTACTCCCCTTAAGGCTTTCAAAGACTCTCTCAGAGATGCCACCCTCAGTGAGCATCAGAATGTGCCCCAGTTTCTTCAAAACCTTCAGCACATTCTAGAGAGAGTCCACCGCTTTGCTCATGATAATCTATTGAAAGCCCAGGTGAGAATGAAGACTCATTACGACCAGACCAGCAAAGTAAGAAAATTCAAGCCGGGAGACTTCGTCCTTGCTTATTTCCCTATCCCAGGTTCACCTTTACAAAACAGATTTTCAGGACCCTACTGCGTCAAAGAGTGCAGGAATAATAATAATTATGTGATAGAGACTCCAGATAGGCGGCGGAAGACCCAGCTGTGCCACGTCAACCTCCTGAAGCAATATAATGGTACTCCTCCCACTGTCTTGATAAACTATTCTACTTTCACAGAACCCTACATCCACAGTGAGACCATCCCGGCTTCTTCTCCCGAAAGCACTGACAAGGAGTCGGCGCTTTCTAATTCCAAAATCCTTAATGATCTTCCCAAATGCTTTCAGGATAATACTCGTGCTCCTATGCCCTCTTCTAATTCCACTCTCACCTCGTCAGATAAGCCCTTCATCCTCCATGTCGACGCCAATGGTACCGACGTGGGTGGTGTCGTGATGCAGCAACGAGGCGAGAAGAATACACCTGTCAGCGACTACTGCTACAAGGATCTACGGAACAATTGGCAAGGAGCTACTCTTCCTCATCCTGAAGCTTCAGCACTTCACTCCACACCTGAAAAGTGCTCGGTCCACCATCAATACGGACCACACCACCCTACACCTCCTGCAGCACGCCCACTTCTCATCTCAACGTCTTCTACTATGGGCTTGCTACCTGCAGAAATTCAACCTGGAGACACGCTATACCAAGAGTCTGACAACATCTTAGCCCATGATCTCTCCAGAGTTTATGAAGTAGAAGCAACTCTATCCATTACTCCACCACATAACGACGTACTTCTTCCAGAACCGCAGGCTTCGGGGGAGAGTTGTGACGATAATCTCCTTCAAGAGATTGAGCCTGCTCTTCCCTCCAAAATTACGTCTTCACAATTATATAAAAAGACTATGGAAGAAATGTCCAACAACACCAGCAAGGCTTGCCAGGGTGAGCAGAAACGTATGCAACCAGCCACCTGTTCGAACTCCAACCACCAAACTACCCGTTGATCGCTACGACTCCGCTGATTGGTCGCCGGTCTGGCTGCACCTGCACTCGCCCCCAATACTACCTGATGTCTGGGGTCGCCCCAACATCAGTCCTCAGAATGTTCCGTGCTTTCGTAGCCAGCACTCCTCCCAGCTAGACGTTAGCGTGTACTGAGAGAGGTGGTGGCTTTAAGCCAATATTCCAGCACCTCCCACTTACCTTTTGTGTTGCACTTCTTGTTATTTTGCCTTAACGTAACTTTTCATTTTGTCATTTAAGAATTCTTATTATTTTGATTCATTGATTTTATTATAAGAATTTGTTTGTGCATTATTTTCATGTTTTGATTTATTTAACGTAATTAAAATTTCATTGTTAAAGTTTTACTTGTGTTTTGTGTGTCTTCTCCTTACCTTACCACAGACGAAGTTCCAGTTTTTCTATTTTTTTTTATAACTATGTGACGAGGCCATACCCCTAGCCTTAAACAGCCGAACACCAACGCGTTACCGTCACAACAGTTTAATACATAAGTTAATTTTGTCTTTATACATACATTCTTTACATTTTAGCTTCAACCCCAAACTAGTTATGCGTGTTCTAACACTACTTAAATCAGCCTTTATTCCACTTATATTCTTAATATGCTTACAAAGATCATTTCTGTACTTATTTTGTACAAATTTAAAATGGTCATTCTGCTGACTTGACATTCAAACAAAAACATTTCTTGATTTGTAGCTTCTGGTGTGACTGTTGTTCCTCTTATGTGGTACACCTGTGTGTTTGCTGAGTATGTTCCTGGCATTATTCTTAGTGGAACAGGTTTACACCTTTTTAATTTGTCTTCATCCTCCACTGAATATGTATGACTTGGTTGGCCATGCCCTTAAGCCATTCAGTAATGGTATCCTATATTCTTCAGAAATAAATAGAAATGGGTGGAAGTTGTATGTATATCAGTACACACTACTGCTACCTGTTTTTGTCTGTTGCATTGGGGTGTTTAATCTTCAGTTAAGCCAGTAAGATAGTAATGACATTATTTTCTGCTTATGCAGGAGGGATTCCAATATTTTGTATAAATATTTAATATTCATATCTCATTTATTGTTAAACATGGCATCTACTTTCTCATTCCCCCTCTGCCCCTCCTTAGGAATACTTGTACAGGAACCCCTTCTTCTCTTCTACTACAAAAATTGAGCTATTGACATTTGTTTCATTGTAATATTTTCATATTTTACTATTTGTTTAAAATATTTTGATATTCCTTTTTCAGACGACAGCTGTGTAACCTTCCTAAGCAAGACCTCATTGGATATAGTCCTCTGCTTGACAAAGACTTGTTCAGACAGTCAATTTCCCTTTTGAAATCCTGTTAAATTAGTTAATTTAAATATACCACTTATAGTTAAATATTCTATCCCATGCTACTAGTGTATTCATTGCATTTTTTAATAAAGAATATTATTTGTTCATAATTTAATTGTCCACTTGATGTAGAACATGTATTCAGTTTTTGGGAAATACATATGCTTAATAAATGCAGATATGATTGATTAATGGTCCTAAAATCAGAAAAAAATGTGGCCACTATTTAGAAATTCAGTTGTTTAAGACAGCATTATAATGAAAGTGTATGGAAGTTTAATTATTCCTGAGTATATATTTTTAATTTTATTCACAGTTCCATTCCATTTTGAAGATAAGGAACTGTTACATCAAACAGCCCAAAACATATACAGTACTGTACATCTATCCACAATGACAAGTACTCAAACATATTTCATTTTTTAATCTCACCGTGGCTCTACTGCACGTTCTGTACTCTTACTGTAGTGGCCAACCCCTTGCACTGCATATATAACTATCATTGTACCATTCCCTGCTGGTATGAAAACAGCCTCTCCAGAAGGTGGTGTTGAAACATATCCCTCTTAATATTTAGGTGAAACTTGTTTAGTTGTACTGCCGTTAACCTCGCCATTGAAACTGAAGGATGTGACCAACCTCTCTCAAAAACTAGAATTGTCATACAAATGCTAGTATTCAAAATTAAGATGTATTCTCCAATAAAGATTTGACGTCATTGATTTTTGTATTGGGCAAGGCTATATTTAAACTTAACAGGTTATGGGTCATCGGAAATGAATACAGATATATCGTCTACATTTTCCAAATTTACTAAATAAAGAATAGCATTAAGCATACAATTATTTTCCCTCGGAGACATAACACACAATGTTTCCTGACGATGGAAATATGAGGAGGATTAAGAAAAGACAGCAAGAAGCTACAACACAACTGTGACAAACTGAAGGAATGCTCCAACATGTGGCTACTTGAGTTTAAACCAAGTAAATGTAATGTAAAGAAGCTAGGTGGAGGTACCAGAAGGTCAGACGCAATGTACAATATGGCAGATAAAATCCTCCATGAAACGGACAGAAATAAGAACCTAGGGTTTCATATTACATTAACCTGTCTCCTGAAGTTCAAATTATAATATCAAGGGTGTATGCAAGGGTGGCTAACATCAGAACTGCCTTCAGAAAAATGTGTAAGGAATTATTCAGAACTTTGTACTGTATACCATATGTTAGACCAATCCTGAAGTATGTGACTTCAGTGTGGAATTCAAACCTAATCAAAGTCAAGACGAAGCTGGAGAAGGTTCAGAGGTATGCCACCAGACTAATTCCAGAACTACCAGGTACGAGTCATGAGGAAAGGCTACGAGAATTGAACCATGTTGCTGGAAGGAACAAGAGTTAGGGAGGAAATGATTACCACAAAAAAAATCTTAAGAGTAATTAATAGAATAGATAAAGACAGGTGGTATCCTCACAAAGGGGGGGGGGGCAGGTGGAAACCGAGTACAGTACTCAAATGAGCCACAGAAATTAGAAATTTTGGTCAATGCCAGAGTAGTAACAAATGGAATGCACTAGGAAGAGATGTGGTGGAGGCAGACTATTCAGTTTCAAATGTTGATATGAAAGAGCCCAATAGGCTCTGGATCCTGTACCCCAGTTCATTGACAGTTGAGAGGTGGGACCAAGCGGCTGAAGGTCAACCCCCACAAGCATAATTAGGTGAGTACAGACAGTGAGAGTGAGTTACAAAGACATAGAGACTGGGTCAACCCAGGCACTGCCAGAAACCCCATCTAGTCAATATCTATAAATGGAAATGCCTGTCTATCCAAGGTTGGTGGCAAGAAGCTTGGGGCTAGCCTCTCACTTTTTCAGGGTAATTCGTATCTGGTAGGTGCCTCTCTAAGAAATATCTGCTCTTTTTAGTGAGCCCCAGCGATTGTCATGGCATATAAAATCGTAGCTTTGTTTTCCAGAGAGTTTTGTTGTTGTGGTTTTCAGTTTTTATAATACACTTAATACATTCAAGAGTGTGATAGGGAAAGGGAGAGAGTGGGGGAAAAAGAGTGAGACAGAGACCTCGACATTTTTAGGTTCCCTCCATTGCAATTTCTTTGTGTCTCTCATATATATATATATATATATATATATATATATATATATATATATATATATATATATATATATATATATATATATATATATATATATATATATATATATATGTCGTACCTAGTTGCCAGAACTCACTTCTCAGCCTACTATGCAAGGCCAAATTTGCCTAGTAAGCCAAGTTTTCATGAATTAATTGTTTTTCGACTACCTAACCTACCTAACCTAACCTAACCTAACTTTTTCGGCTACCTAACCAAACCTAACCTATAAAGATAGGTTAGGTTAGGTTAGGTAGGGTTGGTTAGGTTCGGTCATATATCTACGTTAATTTTAACTCCAATAAAAAAAAATTGACCTCATACATAATGAAATGGGTAGCTTTATCATTTCATAAGAAAAAAATTAGAAAAAATATATTAATTCAGGAAAACTTGGCTTATTAGGCAAATCGGGCCTTGAATAGTAGGCCAAAAAGTGAGTTCTGGCTACTAGGTACGACATATATATATATATATATATATATATATATATATATATATATATATATATATATATATATATATATATATATATATATATATATATATATATATATATATATATATATATATATATATATATATATATATATATATATATATATATATATATATAAAATAGCATACATAAATACTAAGAGTGTAGAGATAGTGATGAATCAAACAAACCTAAACATTGCAGCTCCGTGTAAGAGACTTTGGGCAGGAAGGCGAGACAAAATTGTACAGGATCTTGTGGCTTGACGTAATACTCAACTTGGAAGTTCTGGATGTCAAAACGGTTTTCCTGACTCAACGTTATATCCAATGTGTGTGTGTGTGTGTGTGTGTGTAATTCTCCAAGTTTCGGTGAGTGTACATGTGTTTTTAAGTTGTTTGTGTGTATTTACCTATTTGTGCCTGCAGAATTGAGCTGTTAGCTCTTGGATCCTCGTCTTTCTAACAGTCTTATCTAATATACTAACTCCCAATCTATTTTTTCTTTCATATCTTCTATATACTTTTTTTCACACACATATATATGCAGTATATATACACACACACCCCCACAGGTCCCAGCGAACAGCGCTCTGGGATTGTCCTAAAGGCCCGATCGAGGCTGAAACAAATGGGGATAATTTCTTTCACCCTGATGCTCCTGTTCACCTAGCATAAATAGATACCTGGGAGTTACACATTTGATGGTGCTACATAACCTTCTCGGCTTGGTGTCTTCTTTTGATATGACACTACTCACAACTGATGACGTTCGAACACTTCCGGAACAATTAAAAGTGTTTCACTGACGAATTTTATTCGATCCACAACGCTGTAAATGCTTCACCCACGTACTACAAATACAAATAATCGCCAACAGAACCTAAACACCTAACCTAACCTATGCCTATATATGCACAATATGTAAATATTAATTTATATTTGAAAAAATTCCCGTTTTGAATGAACAGCATGTAAAAGTTTATGAATCCGTCTTTGGGGTCGACCGTTGGATGTAATGGACTTGAGTTGAGGACGGGTTGGTTTAGAGAGATGCGATTCGAGCAGAGGACGTGATCGAAGCACTGTTCGAGAAAAGTACACACTTCAGTTGTGAGTCGTGTGTACAATGTTTTTCATTCATAAACAGGGAGTTTGGGTACTGGATTAACGAGTATTTGGCCCTTGTTGATGAGGACAGGCTGTTATTTGCAGTACGTGGATGAAGCATTTAGGCGACATACCATCACCTGTGCTCCTGGAGCAAGGTTGAGGGCGCGCCAGGGACGTGCATAACCCATTCTGGTCGACCTTATGATCAGAGGAACACGCTGATTGGCTCACGGGTGAACACGTAAGCCAATGAACAGGAGCGGCGGAGGTGTGATAGGGGTGATGAGACTACCCTCGTATGTGCCTCGGTGCTTGGGGGAAGCTCATGTCTTGCTAGATCGTGATCGTGTAACTAGGCCATAAATATTACGCTTACTGGATTACCAGATGGAGACGCCTGAGGATTTTGGTCTCGTAGACCTTGATGTCCCTCAAGTACATGCCTCCGGGGGGTGCAGCTTGGTTGAATTGCAGGAAGATCAAGTGGCTGATTCTGGCGCAGACAAGTCGTCTGGAGATCAAGGCACCGAACTTGATGTAAACAAACTGGGTGAAGGTCAAGTGAACGAGACCGACATGAACAAACCAGATGAAGGTCAAGTGAACGAGACCAACATGAACAAACCAGATGAAGGTCAAGTCAACGAGACCGACGTGAACAACCCGGCTGAAGGTCAAGTGAACGAGACCAACATGAACAAACCGGCTGAAGGTCAAGTGAACGAGACCGACATGAACAAACCGGCTGAAGGTCAAGTGAACGAGACCGACATGAACAACCGGTCTGAGGAATGCGCAGAGAATGAACCCCAGAAGTCTCCAGGTGTTGGTGAGGATACTGTTGATGTGGCAGTTGAACAACGGGAAAGTACAGAAGCCATTCATACCTCAAATAACGACCTTCCTGCACCAGTCTCCAAAATGTTTCCAAAGGCATTGCCTTTTAAGGTTAGTGGAAGAGCTTGAATATCGGGATTTATCTGAATGACAAACTATTACGTGTATCATCTATTATAACAACATCTTCCCCACCCCATAAAAGTGAGAACACTGGCGTCAACGGACACGACGCTAGGCTTCGCAACCGTAGTTTCTAATTAATTAAAAAACAAAGTTGATTTTCAGCATGTTCTCGCGGTTTGACCAGCGTCAAATTTGAAGTGTATCTGCCAAACAGACGCGTACAAGCCCTGGCAATTCGGATAAACAGTCTGTTCATGATTTCGATTTTAACATTGATTTTTGTTTGTGTTCATGTATAGTCAATCGTCCTCGTGCTTTTTATCCATCTCACTGAACTGTAAATCCATCCTTCTGAAGATGTATTATTAAATATGAAAGTATTTAAGAAAATTCCTGTCTTAATCCATCCTTCGTGGTCTGACATTGTAAAATTGTTAATTTCTTCGTGAGTTACATGCACACACACACACTTGCATTGTTGGAAGCATTAAACATGCCAAAACTAGAAGACAGAAGAAAAAGAGGTGATATGATCACTACATACAAAATAGTAACAGGAATTGATAAAATCGACAGGGAAGATTTCCTGAGACCTGGCACTTCAAGAACAAGAGGTCATAGATTTAAACTAGCTAAACACAGATGCCGAAGAAATATAAGAAAATTCACCTTCGCAAATAGAGTGGTAGACGGTTGGAACAAGTTAAGTGAGAAGGTGGTGGAGGCCAAGACCGTCAGTAGTTTCAAAGCGTTATATGATAAAGAGTGCTGGGAAGACGGGACACCACGAGCGTAGCTCTCCTCCTGTAACTACACTTAGGTAATTACACACATTATATATATATATATATATATAATATATAAATATATATAGTGTGTGTAATATTTCACTTACGAGATGGAGAGTGGTGGGAAGCTGCCCTTTCTAGACGTAACAGTCGCGGAAAGGAATGGAGGCTTCCACACTGCAATCTACACTAAGGAAACGAACATAGGAATGTGCCTTAATGCTAACAGTGACTGCTCGGACAGGTACAAGAGGAGTGTTGTCAATGCTTACGTCGACCGAGCTCTCACTCACAGCTCAGGTTGGAAGCAGGTCGACGAGGAATTCTGTAGGGTAAGGCAGATCCTAGTCAATAATGGCAATAACGGTTATGTTGAAGATGCCATTAAAAGGAAGGTGACACGACATACAACCTCTGAAGAAACAACCAACACAACACCTGTACCTACTATTAAATTGTTTTACAGGAACTTCTTTTACACGGTCTATAAAACCAAGGAAAGATTACTGAAAGATATTATTGAAACGTTATCCCCACAGACACCAATCAGAAGATACAAACAATTTACTACAGAAACAAGAAGACCGCAAATTCGCATATGAAAAACTCTCCAGACACCAAGAAACGCGCCTTAAGAGAGACTAACGTCGTCTATGCCTTCACATGCCCACTTAGGGACTGTCAGACCCAACGATCTATGTATATAGGCAAGACGACACCGTACGTCTCTCTTTAGGCGATTAACAATGCACAAACAACAGGGCTCTATCAAGGAACATGTAATCTCCACACAAAACCAGATCATCGCCAGAGACATCTTCAAGTAACATTGAAATGATCGACAGATATAACGACAGCAGATTAGACATCAACGAGGCACTACATATTAAGAAGTCCAGACCAGCAATCAACAACCAGCTAACACATAATTACATTCTACCCACTTCAAAACCCAGAGCCAACGCAGACACAGCATCCAATGGCTCTACTAGTACCTCCTGATCCATTTATTCTTTGACACCCCTTGATCCATTTTGATATTTTTATCCATTATCTTGATCCATTTATATTTTTAACACCCCCTCCCCCTGTTATGGCATTCATCCTCCACCTCACCCAAAGAGTACATACTCCGATGTTTAACACGGTACAATTGTCTTTGAAAATGTAAGGTGTACCTTGCGAAATGCATCCCCAGGCTTCAGACTATAGTAAAGTGTAAAAATGATCTTTGGAGAGTAAATTTTTCAACTTCCCTTGACAGTAAAGAAAAACGTAAGAAATATTGAGAAGATTCGTGTTAGAATCATTAATCTCACCCTTTCGGTCATATTCAACAACATATGTTTGCAAGAAAGACTGCTATCAAAATATACTTTATATATAATCATGTAAAGATTCTAATGGTTATGTACAGGACTGTGTAGTGGTTCTTTATAGGACTGATGGTCCTACCATCTTGTCTTGTTCAGAACTGGAGCGGTCTAGTATTGAATTATAATGGCCCGTTCAGGATTGAAGTGGTCCTGTACGGAGCTTTAGCGGTCCTGTAGAAGAGCAGACACACAGTGGCACGAGCCAAGATATGTTATCAGGGCTCTATTGTTGCAGCTATCCCGTGGGGCGTCGTCAACGAGGCGAACATAGAGCGACCACATGTCTATGTCTCATAGATATGTGGCACAGGTGTATGGTGGCGAGATTTGTGGTCGTAGAGCGACCATATATCTCTCTACATATCTGTGGTTCGTCCGATGTATACCAGACCAAATGTAAATTGTCTACACCAAAACTATTCGCACACCCAACAATCTACACCACTACATGTAATGGAAAGCAAAAAGTAATGAATTTAGAGATAACACCTGTCACAAATATTCAAGAAATGTGAATATTTAATTCAAAATCATCTACAACCTGAAATTTTAGCCAATGATATCTCCAGTTTGCCAGAGGTAGAACATGCAGGTGGCGGAAGCCTCGCCTCCGTCGCCCACTGGATGGGTGGGGAGTGCATGATAGGATAATTAATACGATACGCAACTGGCTCAACTAACAAACGCACTCTTTGTGCTGAGACTGCTTGAGGTGACTGTGATGTTAGTTTGGTAACCTGCAAAGACACTGTTGGCTTATTTATACAAACATATTATGTAACTGGCTCATCAGTGCTGAGACTTGCTTAACTAAACGAATTTTGGGAGTCAGTTTCTAAACGCATTATGTGCCTCTGTAACCTTTTTACTACAGTTCACAGGATGGGTTATGTGATCCTCTACAGTACACAGGATGGGTTATGTGATCCTCTACAGTACACAGGATGGGTTATGTGATCCTCTACAGTACACAGGATGGGTATGTGGTCACTGGTCCACCTACAGTACACAGGATGGGTATGTGGTCACTGGTCCACTACAGCCCACAGGATGGGTATGAGGTCCTCTATGGTCTCTATACCATAGTGAACCCCATACCCCTATACATATGGGGACCCCATACCCCTATACATATGGGAACCCCATACCCATATACATAGACAAGGTGACAAGTGGGGTCCACTACAACACACAGGATGGGTATAGGGTCCACTACAACACACAGGATGGGTATAGGGTCCACTACAACACACAGGATGGGTATAGGGTCCACTACAACACACAGGATGGGTATAGGGTCCACTACAACACACAGGATGGTATGTACTACAACACATAGGATGTATGGGGTCCACTACAACACATAGGATGGGTATGGGGTCCACTACAACACACAGGATGGGTATAGGGTCCACTACAACACACAGGATGGGTATAGGGGGTATGAGGTCCACTACAACACACAGGATGGGTATAGGGTCCACTACAACACACAGGATGGGTATAGGGTCCACTACAACACACAGGATGGGTATAGGGTCCACTACAACACATAGGATGGGTATAGGGTCCACTACAACACACAGGATGGGTATAGGGTCCACTACAACACACAGGATGGGTATAGGGTCCACTACAACACACAGGATGGGTATACTACAACACATAGGATGGGTATGAGGTCCACTACAACACACAGGATGGGTATAGGGTCCACTACAACACACAGGATGGGTATAGGGTCCACTACAACACATAGGATGGATATGGGGTCCACTACAACACATAGGATGGGTATGGGGTCCACTACAACACACAGGATGGGTATAGGGTCCACTACAACACACAGGATGGGTATAGGGTCCACTACAACACACAGGATGGGTATAGGGTCCACTACAACACACAGGATGGGTATAGGGTCCACTACAACACACAGGATGGGTATAGGGTCCACTACAACACACAGGATGGGTATAGGGTCCACTACAACACACAGGATGGGTATAGGGTCCACTACAACACACAGAGTGGGTATAAAAAGAACACTGGTTCTTCCTCATGGACAGAGGATCCTATTATTATTGCAGAGCGAGCTAAAGTGCTTCAGCTTGCTGACTCTTATAAACGAGACAAAACAGCTGACAATTTACTTGCATTCCTTAATGCCAACAGAGATTTTCGCGAGCTTAAGGGTCAAGTTAAGAACACATATTGGGAACAATTCCTACAAGGTATCAATAGAACTACAACATTATCAGAAATGTGGAACAAAATTAAAAACATTACCAAACCTTCAGCCCCAGTTGAGCTTCATCATACTCCTGCAGAATATGCTGACATGCTCCTAGCTCAATGGTCTAGTGTCTCACAAATTTCTTCCTTACCCCCAGATATACAGCAGCATTTAAGACATACCAACATTAACAGAAACTTTAATATTGAAATAGCACGCTCCTCACCAGATTTAACGGATCAGTTTCCTATAACCCCCTTTGAATTAACATCAGCATTAGGAAAACCTAGGCACACTGCCCCTGGTGAGGATGGTATAACTTATAACATCTTGAGCTTACTGAATGATGTCCCTAGCCACCCTCTGCTTGACCTCTATCAAATGAGTCTCTCACAAGGTATCTTGCCAAAGAAATGGACACAAAGTCTCATAATACCAATTCCTAAACCTAACTCTCAAAAATTCAGACCCATTTCCCTTACATCTTGCATGTGTAAAGTCTTGGAGAGAATTGTTCTCAATCGTGTCATGTTTCAGGTCAAAGAAAAACTGGCCCCAAACCTATATGGGTTCATGCCCAAGTGT